TTCGGAACCAGAGTCAGAGAGAAGACCCTGTGTCCCAGCAGGGCCTCCCTCCCCCCGGGGTCCTTGGGCCCCATGACATCCTTGGCGCCGAGGAGGCTTGGGAAGGCCAGGCATTCAGAGGATCCCAGGATGTCCACAGCTGGGGGGGTTTGCTCTTTTCGGATTTTGTGGGGTCACGTGGGAAGGACACGGGGGTGATTTCCACACCATTTGCAGCCCAGGGGCTGCCTGTGCTTGTGTTTTCCCACGGGGCTGTCTAGGCTGAGGCCTCTGGGGTGGGGGTGTCTGCATCCTTGCAGGCACAGGGTCCTGGTGTGGGAAGGTCCAGCCCCACGTGACCCCAACCACCTGCCCCGACAGCGACCGGCCTGTTGTGCACCTGTGGGTGATCCCTCCAGGGAACACTGATCAGGGGAGGGTGTGGCAACCCCATCCTCCTGGCTTGGATCTCCGTGGCTGTGGTTCCCAGCATGGAAATGGCTTGAGTACCGTGGCTCCCATGAGGTGGTGCTGTTGGCCAGGGAGGAAAGAAGGGCAAGGGGGTGCCTGGGGGCCAGGGTGGAGCCAGGCAGGCCTTTGCTTGTGGAGGACAGGTAGCCGACAGTGCTGCCTCCTCGAGGGAGAGACTGGCTGGGTGTCCAGACCTCAAGACCGAAAGGTAAAGAGCTGCCCAGCCTGGTCCAGGCCCCAGTGCCAGCCCGCAAGGCTGCACTCACCACCCCCAGAGCCTCCTCCAGGCCCCAGCGCCAGCCCCCGAGGCTGCGCTCACCACCCCCAGGGCCTCCTCCAGGCCCCAGCGCCCGCCCCTAGGGCTGCACTCACCACCCCCAGAGTCTCCTCCAGGCCCCAGCGCCTGCCCCTAGGGCTGCACTCACTCCCCACTGATCCTGTGCCTCTTCCAGGCCCCACCGTAACCACTTTCAGGCATCACCAGGCCATGTGCTACAGTCCTCCAGTTGTGTTTCCAGTGCCTGGAAAGAGTGGTGCCTATTTGAAACTCCGTGGAGAGAGGTGCTGAACTTAACAGTCTATGCCACCTGGGGACTGCCAGCACCTGCTGCTCTGTTCAGCACTCGGGACAGGGCCTGGCACGGGGCCAGCGGACAGCTTGAAGGCCGCTCGGGATAGAATGAAGCTAATGAAAAGCTGCAGGCAACGCGACCCCACTCTGGAAAGCCAATCTACATCCGTCTCTGTAAACGGCACCGTCTGTATGCATGGGACAAATGCCTGTTCCCACGTGGAGGCATCTAAACCCAGAGAAAAGCCTGGAAGGAACGTGATCTTTCCAGCAGCCCCCAGGGAACCAGGATGCAGAACTGCGACTAGCCCTTTCCCACCTCACCAGCAGGGAAAACGCACAGAACCCTTGGCAGGGTTGGGGGTGGCACTGCATAGAAGAGGCTACGGTGTTTGGGGCCAGGCAGGGACACAGCCAAGGTGTGGCCTGTGTGGCTGCTGCTCTGCCTGCACAGGGCTGGGCTGCAAGGGGGCCACCATGGAGGCACAGGTGCCACGTGGAGCTGGGTGGTCTCCCCCCAGCCCAGGAGGGCTCTGATGGCCTCGCTCACTTACTGGAGTCTGCACAGGTCTGGGGCCAGTGGGGACTGAGGATGAACTTGAGTCGGGCTGGGCCTGGGGCAACAGGGGCCGCCCCCCGGGACTACTGGCCAGCCCTAGGAAGCCAAGGCGGCAACCACACCCTGTGGAACTGAGGGCCAAGGGCAGCCTCCTTCCAGGGGAAGTCTGGGTTCCCACCCCTCCTGGATATCGTCACCAGCTGATTTGCTGAGCTCAGGGCTGCGTGTCTACAGAGGTGTCCTGCCCTGGGCCCCTGCCTGGTTCATTCCAGTGACCCCAGCACTGCTGTTTGAGCCTCCCAGCCCAGCAGGCTGGGCAGCAGCAGGAACGCGCTCATCCGTGCTGGGCGTGATGGCCAGGCAGGGGCAGCCCCAGGCCTCAGCATCAGCCACATGGCAGGAGATGCTCTCTGGCTCTGCGGTGTGTAGACCCGTTTCCTGAGGGATGTCTCCTGCTCCCCAAGTCTCCAAGGCCCTGCCTTATACCCTCTCCCCAGCTAAGATGGGGCTTGGCCTCACTGCTCACCATTCTGGACACTGACTGCTGCTGCCAAGACCCTCTGAGCTCAGTTCCCACTGAGCCCCTCCCCAGACCTCCGGCCTGGCATGAGGGCAGCCCCATTCCTTGGGTGTGTGCCTGCTGAGTGAACAGCTTGCTCTGGACCTACCCACTTCTCTGATAGGAGTTGGGGGCTAAGCCAGGCAGCCACTCACATCCCACAGGGCATGTGCCTACTCTGTGGGAATCTCCCTGTGGGTAGGAAGGTGTGAGCTGGGCCTGGCAGCCCTGGAGAATCAAGGCTAGGAGGAGCAGCACGTGGAATTTTTCCCCTTGTGGTAACAATACCCACTCCGGAGTCCCGGGAGTCAGCCCTTCCCACCCCAGCACTAGCCCCAGTTAGCTCTTCCTTAGATATTGTGACATGCCCCCCGCAACCCCGCCAGAGGGTGGAGGAGGAACAGAATTACCCTGGGTTTGAGTAAATAATAGGTTCAGAGCTCAGCAGAAGTCAAAGGTGTGTCTGACTCTGAAAGGCTCCTAGTCTAATGCCTAAGCCACCACCAAGCTTCCGCGTCTACAGAGCCGTGCTCCCTGTCCTAGAGGCCGCTGCACCTGGAACCAGGCCAGCCACACAAACTCACACTGATGCTTGCTCTGTGGGGAGGGTGCTGGGAACCACCCGGCAGAGCTGTCGCCTCCTGCCCCACCACGGGGACAAACCAGCCCTCTTTCTGGAAGCTTCTCTGGGGGCCTTTCTTGTTGGCACAATCAGAGGCCGAAGCTGAGTCACACCCAACTGCCTGGCAGCCAGGATGGGACACGTGGCACCTTTGCCTCACGGTGGGACATATGGCCCCGCCTGGCTTCCCCAGCCCCTCTGTGTGGCCACGTGGAGGCTTTGCTTCATGGTTGGGGGAGTAGGGGAGGGGGGCCTCAGGGCCACACCCACCCAGTGTCTGGGGAACGGTGACTCTGGGGCTGCCAGACACCTATTATTTGTGGTGTCTTTCAGTCAATGGTGGGTACTGGCTTCGGGGAGCTCCCCTTTCTCTTCAGCCTGGAAAGCGCCCCACTTTGGTCAGAGAAATCTACCCAGGCAGCAAGCTCTGTGTGGCGTGCAGCTCCCTGAAAAGGGCTCCTCCCTTGCTGGCTGATGGGCAGAGCTCACACTCTGTGAGCCTCTGTATTCTCATCTGCACCACAGGGATGGCCCCCACAGGTCCCCACAGGAATTGGCACCTGTGGCCTCTGACCTCTGGGGGGCTCAGAGACACCTGGATCAGAGATGGTGCAGGTCACCTTCCTGTGCCCTCCTGTGCATGCGTGTGGTGTGAGCATGTGTGCACATATGTGCTGCATACATGTGACTATGCATGTATGTGTGATGCATACATGACTATGCACATGTGTGCAGGTGTGCTGTGTACGTGCAAATATGCATGTGTGTGAACCTGTGTGCTGCATGCACATGACTACATGCATATTTAGGTACTACAGCACACACACATGTATATGAGGGTGCATACATATGAATATACATGTGCGTGCACGTGTGATGTGTACATATGACCATGTGTGGGTGTGTTGTGTACATATGAATATACGTGTGTTCAGAAGTGTGTGATGTGTACATGACTATGCATGTGTGCACGTGTGCTGTGTACATGACTGCACACGTGTGTGCTGTGTACATGACTGTGTGCACGTGTGCTGCATACAAATGAATATGCATGTGTGTGTACATGTGCTATATACATATGAACGCGTGTGGATGTGTGCTGTGTACATATGAATATGCATGCGTGTGCATGTGTGCTACATGCATATGACCGTGCACGTGTGTGGCGTGTGTATATAAATATGCATGTGTGTGCACATGTGTTGTGTACATATAACTGCATATGTGTGCACGTGTGGCGTACATGACTGCACGTGTGTGCTGTGTAAATATGACTGTACATATTTACATGACTGTACAAATTTACATATTTACATCACATGCTTGTGCACAAGCGTGTGATGTGTACATGACTATGCATGTGTGTGTGCTGTGTACCTATGACTATGCATGTGTGTGCATGTGTGTTGTGTACATATGACTGCATGTGTGTGCATGTGTGCTCTGTACATATGAATATGCATGTGTGTGTGCTGTGTACATGGCTGTGTGTGTGTGTGCTGTGTACATATAAATATCCATGTGTGTGCACGTGTGTGCTGTGTACCTATGAATATCCATGTGTGTGCATGTGTGTGTGTGCTGTGTACCTATGAATATCCGTGTGTGTGTTGTGTACATGGCTGTGTGTGCATGTGTGCTGTGTACATGGCTTGTGTGCATGTGTGTGCTGTGTACATATGAATATGCTTGTGTGTGCATGTGTGCTATGTAAATGTGAATATGCATGTGTGTGCTGTGTGCATGACTGCACACGTGTGTGCTGTGTACATATGACTATGCATGCATGTGTGTCTGAGCGAGAGAGCTCTGGGTGGGTTCTGGTGAAACTCATCTTACAGGCATGTCCTGGAGCCCCCACACTCCCAGGAGGACTCCCTCTCCTGTGAGTGGGGAGCATGTGGCTCCCTCCAGGGACAAATCCTTGTGCCAGCATGGTGGTCTCTGTTGCTCTCGTGGTCATGGCTGAGGCCGTGTCCACTGTGCTCCTGGCTCCTGCAGGAGCGCCAGCGACACAGCAGATGCTCCGTCCATCCTTCCTGGTGGAGTACGGGATGCAGCACACCCAACTGGTCTGCGCCCTGCACCTCCCATCCCGACTGGTGGGGTGCTTCCAGGAGCTGCAATTCACACGAGGCCCACAAAGGGCTGAGCCTCCCTGTGTTCGAGGGGCCTCTGCCCCTGCCCAGCAAGCCACAGAGCAAGAGGCCAGAGCAGGAAGGGGCCAGAAACCCTCCCGCTGGTGGAGAGGAAGAGCCGCATCTTCCCCTGCTCATTTATTGCTTTTTAAGATCACATCATCATTCTCCCAATGGGTAGTGGGTTTCAGGCATGGCTCACACCTGGCGTGGTCATTGGCACCTGCTGTTGCTCGGGGCTGGTGTGATCTTTAACCCAAAGGCACTGTCTGTGCGCTCACTCCTCCCAGGCAGGGCCAGTTCCACAAGAAGAAAACAGGAACCTCAGTGCGTGTCGGAGAAGGCTCTTGGGTGGCAAGTGGGCAGCCTGGTCACCCTCTGTCCCACCTCCTGCCCCCCAGCCCATCCACACACCACCTCCCTCCTCTTCACCAAGCTCTGAGCACCTTCTCCTGGGCGCTAGGCACTCTCCTTTGCCCTCTTCCTGGTGGAGTACAGGATGCAGCACATCCAGCTGGTCTGTGTCCTGTAGGCCAAGAGGAGGGCAGGTGGGTGAGAAAAGGTCCTGACCTGGCACTGGGCCACAGGCACCCGAGAGCAGCACCCCCAACCCCCAGCATGCTGGCCGATCTCCCCTGCACCTCGGTAGGGGCCTCATTTCATCATGCCCTGGAGGGCTGTGGTGAGTGGCAATTGAGAAGCCTGGTTTGCTGGTTTCTGCTTGAGACCTGAGGATGCACGGGTCTCCAGAATGATGTGTGAAGACAAAACAGTACAGAGCACATGGGCCCCTGTCCCCATCTGGAGCCACGTTGTTTAGATCAGTGACGTGGGTCTATGCCTTTTCCTGCACACGATGTCTGCTGTGATTTGTGATTACGCCTCTGTCATCTACAGCCAGACAAGCTCTCGCACCCAAACCTTGATGTGATCCTGCCCATGCCAAGCCCCCGACGCCTGTCTGGAAACCGTGAATGGAAACGGTGTGGGCAACGGACAGACAGCTCCCGGGCGACACCTCAGTGCACAGTCCTCGTGAGACTGCCATGTAAAATGAACTTTTGCAAAGCTTGATTCTTCTTCCTCAATTGGCAATCATGGTGCCCATGGAGGGACTCCGAGCAGACTGCCCAGGGCTGCCTGGGACACCACAGGGACCCGGCACCTTGGCCCCAGCACAGGCCCTTGGGGCCTCCCTGGCCCCTGCACAGCTGCAAGTGGTGGGGTCTCTCCTGGGTCCTCTGGGGTCTCTCCTGGGTCTCTGCAAGGTCCTCCTGGGTCTCCTTAAAGCATGCCAAGCTTTCTACGGCTGTTGCTAGCCCATTCTTTTGCTTATTTTAAACCAATGAGGAAATTATATCAAGGAAAATTGGGAGCTCAAATGGCAACCTGCTGGGATGGAGGCAGCGTGTGGATTTGTCCGAGGTCTCCGTCTCTCTTTATGCTGAGGGAAAATGACTGGCAATTTTAAAAAGAAGTGTAGGAAAGGCAGGAAGTACAAGGTCCTCAGAATGGTCTGTAAAACTGTGATCAAGTTTATGGAAAGAATTGTGTGTGTGTTTAAGTCAGCGGTGATGAAAAGGTAATTATTTATATGTCTTTCTAAAGACTGAGGTTAGATATTAAATATACATTAATACAAAACTAAAGATTGGTCCCTATGTCACCAGTTTCCTTGGAGTACTGCTTTGCTCTTAAGGAAACTGCAGGAGGTTCTGGTTTTTAACTCTGAAGTCGTCTCTTTCTGAAACTGCTCAGACCCACATCTCAGAAGCTCAGCTTCCACTGTTCCCTGCGACGTGCGCTTTGCAGGAGAAATGCGGCCTCAGCTCTTTCTCCCCTTGAGAACTTTCTCCTTCAAATGTTTGGCCAAGTAGCCTTTTCCTGCGGTTTTAACTCTGCTGTTGTAACTTGAAGCTAAACGTGTGTCCTGAGGGCTGGGAAAAGCAGCGTTTTCCTCAAGGGCAGCTCAAATCTCTACACCTGGCTTTTCTCACTATGTCTGATTGTTCAGCATAATCAGGAAACTTCTCATGCTGTTACCAAGAGTGACGTATTCCCCGGCTCAAGGCCCCCGTTTCCCTGTTTACTGTCGTCTGTAGTCATGTGCGCACCCACAGCCCTGGACACACTCGAGGTTCCACTCGTCGGGTCTGACTCCAGGTTCTCCGCATGGGCTTCCCTCAAAGAGGCACAACCGCACTGCACATTTTTCTGTGCCTTTTAGTAACGGTCTTAAAAACAAAGATTTTACATTTTATCAAGATAATTTCTGTATCATCTTTATCATGTTTTGATGACTTAAGACAACTGAGCATTAAAAGGGTTTTGGTTTCGACAGCGATGACTTTCCTGAATTGCCTGTGAGGCCTTTTGATAATTACTCTGGTTAAATGAATATTGTTTTAAAATGACCTGTGATTCTGTTGGATTGTTTTGAACCTTTTGACATCTGCAGATTTCCACAGAATCAAAATCCTACATAAAGTCTTTTTGGGTTAAACACTTGGATTTGGTACAATTGTCTGGGTAGCATCATCACATGATAAATGATTCTAAATCTTCTGTCAGGTATATTGACGAGCATATTGATATAAATGTTCTAGAGTTAAATACATTCACTAAAATGTAATACATTACCCTTTATAATTTTGATAATCTTCAATCTGACATGTATATGGGCATGTTATCAGTGTGAATATTCTAAAGAGTACATAAAATTTATAGGTGCCTGACAGCCCTGATGTGACACAGTCAGTCATAATTCTGGTTGTTTTCTTATAATGTTATGTGTAATAGAAATAACTATTTTCTTGTTGGTTACAAGCTTTAAGTTTTAACTGAGGCTGGTCTAAAGTTTTAAATCTGTAGTCATTGTTCTGAATTATTCTCTGTAAACATTTATGATCAGTTCTAGTCCAAAATTGCTTTTTATGGAAAGGACCCCAAAAAAGATGGGTATAAAAAGGTGGGAAAAATTGAAAGTAAAATTAATGAAAGAATATTCAAAAGTGGTTCCAATTTTATTGATTAGTTATCAGGTCTTTTCAAATCTGTAGTAACTGTGATGCTGTGAAGTGTGCAGAGCTCTGTGTGTGTCGTGTGTCTCCTCTGATTGTGAAGTGTGCAGAGCTCTGTGTGTGTCGTGTGTCTCCTCTGATTGTGAAGTGTGCAGAGCTGTGTGTGTCGTGTCTCCTCTGATTGTGAAGTGTGCAGAGCTCTGTGTGTCATGTGTCTCCTCTGATTGTGAAGTGTGCAGAGCTCTGTGTGTGTTGTGTCTCCTCAGATTGTGAAGTGTGCAGAGCTCTGTGTGTCGTGTGTCTCCTCTGATTGTGAAGTGTGCAGAGCTCTGTGTGTGTCGTGTGTCTCCTCTGATTGTGAAGTGTGCAGAGCTCTGTGTGTCGTGTGTCTCCTCTGATTGTGAAGTGTGCAGAGCTCTGTGTGTGTTGTGTGTCTCCTCTGATTGTGAAGTGTGCAGAGCTCTGTGTGTGTCGTGTGTCTCCTCTGATTGTGAAGTGTGCAGAGCTCTGTGTGTGACGTGTCTCCTCTGATTGTGAAGTGTGCAGAACTCTGTGTGTGACGTGTCTCCTCTGATTGTGAAGTGTGCAGAACTCTGTGTGTGACGTGTCTCCTCTGAGTGTGAAGTGTGCAGAGCTCTGTGTGTGTTGTGTGTCTCCTCTGATTGTGAAGTGTGCAGAGCTCTGTGTGTGACGTGTGTCTCCTCTGATTCTGTGAAGTGTGAAGAGCTCTGTGTGACGTGTGACTCCTCTGATGCTGTGAAGTGTGCAGAGCTCTGTGTGTCCTGTGCCTCCTCTGATTGTGAAGTGTGCAGAGCTCTGTGTGTGTCCTGTGTCTCCTCTGATTCTGTGAAGTGTGAAGTGCTCTGTGTGTGTTGTGTGTCTCCTCTGATTGTGAAGTGTGCAGAGCTCTGTGTGTGACGTGTGTCTCCTCTGATTCTGTGAAGTGTGAAGAGCTCTGTGTGACGTGTGACTCCTCTGATGCTGTGAAGTGTGCAGAGCTCTGTGTGTCCTGTGCCTCCTCTGATTCTGTGAAGTGTGCAGAGCTCTGTGTGTGTCCTGTGCCTCCTCTGATTCTGTGAAGTGTGCAGAGCTGTGTGTGTCGTGTGACTCCTCTGATGCTGTGAAGTGTGCAGAGCTCTGTGTGTGATGTGTGACTCCTCTGATGCTGTGAAGTGTGCAGAGCTCTGTGTGTGACGTGTGACTCCTCTGATGCTGTGAAGTGTGCAGAGCTCTGTGTGTGACGTGTGACTCCTCTGATGCTGTGAAGTGTGCAGAGCTCTGTGTGTGACGTGTGTCTCCTCTGATTCTGTGAAGTGTGAAGTGCTCTGTGTGTGTTGTGTGTCTCCTCTGATTCTGTGAAGTGTGCAGAGCTCTGTGTGTCGTGTGTCTCCTCTGATTCTGTGAAGTGTGCAGAGCTGTGTGTGTCGTGTGTCTCCTCTGATTCTGTGAAGTGTGCAGAGCTCTGTGTGTCGTGTGTCTCCTCTGATGCTGTGAAGTGTGCAGAGCTCTGTGTGTCCTGTGCCTCCTCTGATTCTGTGAAGTGTGCAGAGCTGTGTGTGTCCTGTGCCTCCTCTGATTCTGTGAAGTGTGCAGAGCTGTGTGTGTCCTGTGCCTCCTCTGATTCTGTGAAGTGTGCAGAGCTGTGTGTGTCGTGTGACTCCTCTGATGCTGTGAAGTGTGCAGAGCTCTGTGTGTGACGTGTGTCTCCTCTGATGCTGTGAAGTGTGCAGAGCTCTGTGTGTGACGTGTGTCTCCTCTGATTCTGTGAAGTGTGAAGTGCTCTGTGTGTGTTGTGTGTCTCCTCTGATTCTGTGAAGTGTGCAGAGCTGTGTGTGTCGTGTGTCTCCTCTGATTCTGTGAATTGTGCAGAGCTCTGTGTGTCGTGTGTCTCCTCTGATGCTGTGAAGTGTGCAGAGCTCTGTGTGTCCTGTGCCTCCTCTGATTCTGTGAAGTGTGCAGAGCTCTGTGTGTGTCCTGTGCCTCCTCTGATTCTGTGAAGTGTGCAGAGCTCTGTGTGTGTCCTGTGCCTCCTCTGATTCTGTGAAGTGTGCAGAGCTGTGTGTGTGTCGTGTGTCTCCTCTGATGCTGTGAAGTGTGCAGAGCTCTGTGTGTGACGTGTGTCTCCTCTGATGCTGTGAAGTGTGCAGAGCTCTGTGTGTGACGTGTGTCTCCTCTGATGCTGTGAAGTGTGCAGAGCTCTGTGTGACGTGTGTCTCCTCTGATTCTGTGAAGTGTGAAGTGCTCTGTGTGTGTTGTGTGTTTCCTCTGATTCTGTGAAGTGTGCAGAGCTGTGTGTGTCGTGTGTCTCCTCTGATTCTGTGAAGTGTGCAGAGCTCTGTGTGTCCTGTGCCTCCTCTGATTCTGTGAAGTGTGCAGAGCTCTGTGTGTGTCCTGTGCCTCCTCTGATTCTGTGAAGTGTGCAGAGCTGTGTGTGTCGTGTGACTCCTCTGATGCTGTGAAGTGTGCAGAGCTCTGTGTGTGACGTGTGACTCCTCTGATTCTGTGAAGTGTGCAGTGCTCTGTGTGATCTATAGTTTCTCTGTACCAGTCCTGGGGACATGTCATGTTGGGGTCAGGAAAAGGCAGCACTAGGAAAAAGAAAATCCCGATCATTCCAATTGAAAAGGAGATGCAGCCTGTGAAAGCATTTTCCAGTGAACATCGAGTGTGCCCCCCGTCCTCAGCAGTGGCCCCCCGTCCTCAGCCATGGCCCCTGTCCTCAGCGTCTAAATTCAAATGCTTCCATGTGTCTTCTTTTTTTAGATGGAGTCTCATTCTGTGTGACCAGGCTGGAGTGCAGTGGCGCGATCTCAGCTCACTGCAACTTTCACCTCCCGGGTTCAAGCAATTCTCCTGTCTCAGCCTCCTGAGTAGCTGGGATTACAGGCATGTGCCACCACCCAGCTAATTATTTCTGTACTTTTAGTAGAGACGGGGTTTCACCGTGTTCGCCTCGATCTCCTGACCTTGTGATCTGCCCACCTTGGCCTCCCACAGTGCTGCGGTGATTTTTAAACATTTCTGTCTGTTGTGCTATACATCATTATTTCAATTATTTTAAATGAATGGTTAAAATGTTAACTGAAAAAGGTTTAGTATCACATGTCTGTTTTACAAAGCAAACAAAGCAATTCATCCTTTAAAAAAATCTGTAACGTATCAAAATACTGATAAACTGTTAATTCTGAGTGGTCGGCATTTGAACAGTGTTTCTTTTGCATTTTCTGTGTTGTTTAAAATAGAACACTATAGGTCCGTGAGCCCCTTCAGTGGTCCAGGCGCACGTGTCTTTCCCTCCCCACACCCATCCTCATGGCTGAGGGTCTCAGGGCCTTGGGAAGTCTGGGAGCTTCCCTGGCCCTACACAGCATCCACCCTGGGGATACAGGTTGTCACCTCCAAGGCTGCCTGACCCCAGCTACAGGGCCTGAGCCATGTCGAGAGAGGGGTCTGCTTGGCTGTGACACCAGCCATGTGTGCAGCTCCCCCTACACCCCACCTGCAGGACCCAAGTCGGCAGCCCAAAGCCTACACAGGAGAAGCCAGTACCATGCACTTGTCCCCTCTCCACTCCCCTTTCCTCTCATCAGGCCGTTTTCCTGGCTGGTGGGTAGCAGGTGGCCTGGTTGTGGAGTGAGGTGGGCATCGTGAAGTTTGTCCTGGAGCCCTTGGCAGGTCTGACGCCCTGTCGCCTGCCTTCAGCCCCTCAGGCTCGGTAGGTGCTGAGCCTTGGCAGCACCCAAGGAGAGGAAGGAGGGCACCTGGGCTTGTCTCTGCCCACCACAGGCAAGGCACGGTGGGCGTGCCAGAAACCGCAGTGGAGGGAAAGTCCTCCTGTCCCCCCAGTGTGAGCCCACTCACTCATCTTCTGAGGGATCTCCCACATCCATCTGGGATGGCTTCTCTTCTTTCTTGGCATCGGTGACCACCTGTGGGGAGTGGAGATGTCTAAGGGCTGGGAGTGTCAGCCACAGGCACCGAGGTGCTGCAGCCTGTGGACCTGCTGGAGGGTCAGGCCAGGGCAGAGGCTGCCCAGTCAGATGACCTCCCATCAGGCAGAGCTCTCTGTTGACCACACATTTCCAGTTACGGGCACCTGACCAAGGAACTGAACCCTTGATGTGGGCCTGGCTCCTGGACTATAGACCAGGCCTGGCCTGTCAGCCCGTGTGTGCCACTGGCTGGCCCCCCTTGAGTTCTTAGAACTTAAGTGCACCATGAATGGCCTTGTTGGGGGTTAATAATGGGCGCCCTCTGCCTTGTGGCGTGCTCTGAGGGAAAAAGGGAGAGAAGGTACAGTCTGGAAAACAAATGACCCCCAGGAAGAAGCTTAAACTTGCCAAGAAAGAACTTCAAGAAACTTCCAAAATGATGACTGCTCACTACAGCAAAGAAATGGAGGAACACAGCCCAGATATCTGTGTTGGAAGGGTCCAGACAGGCCATTAAGTCAGCCTCCTCTTTTTACAGATAAGGATGAGGATGATGGTGGGGATGATGCTGATGCTGATGGGGATGACAGCAATGATGACGACGATGATAGTAATTATAATGGTGGTGAGAGTGATGGCAATAATGACGATGATGTGGTAACGATGGTGACAACGGTGATTATGATGGTGACGGTGATGATGGTGATGGTGGTGATGATGCTGATGCTGATGGGGATGACATCAATGATGATGACGATGATAGTAATTATAATGGTGGTGAAAGTGATGGCAATAATGACGGTGATGTGATAACGATGGTGACAACGGTGATTATAATGATGGTGGTGGTGATGGTGGTGGTGGTGATGGTGGTGATGATGGTGGTGGTGATGACGGTGGTGATGATGGTGGTGGTGATGACGGTGGTGATGGGATGATGATGGTGGTGGTGATAATTATGGTGATGATGATTATAATGGTGATGATGGTGATGGCGGTTATGGTGGTGATGATGGTGGTGGTGATGATGGATGATGATGATGGTGATGGTGGTTGTGATGATGATGGTGGTTATGGTGGTGATGATGATGGTGATGGTGGTGATGACAGTGGTGATGATGATGGTGATGGTGCTGGTGATGATGATGGTGATGATGATTATAATGGTGGTGATGATGGTGATGATGGTAATGATGATGGTGGTGATGGTGATGGTGATGGGGATGATGGTGGTGGTGATGGTGATGTGATGATGGTGGTGGTGATGATGATAGTGACAATGATGTTTATAGGGATGATGTTGATGGTGGTGATAATGATGGTGATGACTGCGACATGATAATGACATTTTGGTGGTGATGATAGTTGTGGTGGTCATGGTGATCATATCCTCCACTAAAGCTTCCCTGGGTATGAGGCACTGCTCTGAGAGCTTTCCCAAACAACCCTGGGAGGTGGATAGTAATATGATTCTTATTTTATAGAGGAGACAAGTGAGGCACAGGGAAGTATGATGAGCTGTTTGAGCATTCACTGACAGAGCCACACATCTACCAAGGCCCAGTTTCTGAACTTCCAGACCTGGGCCCTTTTCCCCACCCCAACATGATTCCACAAGAGGTTCTGAGGACCCTCAGGAACCCTGCAGGTTAACCCAGGGCCCAGAGTCTCTGATAGTGCTGAAGTGTGAGTGAGTTGAAGTGTGGGAGGGTAAGGAAGAGGCAAGGGTGTCCTCAAGCCACTCAAGACCAATTCTCAGCGTCATGGAGCTCTCCTGGAGCTGCTGGCCCAGGTCTCTGCCTCCCCCTCCAACACACACCCATGTGGGGCAAGCTCCCAGAGAAGCCTCCAAGGCCCTGCCAGGCAGCACGGGCCCTTTCCTCGTGACTTTGGCCCTGCTTGTCTAGGGGGTTTTCATCTTTACCTCCTCTGCATGGTCTCCCAGATCAATCTCCACAAACACAGACGATTTCTGCAAATGGAAACCAGAGAGGTATGGATGGCAGGCTTGGGTGAGCTGGGAGGAATGTCGATTTCCTGGGAGAAGCAGTGACTCCTGGCCCTTGGGGCAGCCAGGGCGGACCCTGGTGATGACCATCAGGACCCCAGAACCTGGCAATGCTGAACAGGGGCTCCTGGGATGCTGGGCAGAGCTGATGGCAGTGTGGACTGTGAGGTGCCCACAGCTAGCTCTGGCAGTAGAGCTGGAGGAGGGATATGGCTTTCCCACCCCTCCCCACCTAACCTCCATGAGGGCCCTGTGACCCCAGAGGGTCTCCTCCACCCTCACCCTCTGAGAACTGGGGCCTCCAGGAGATGGGGCAGTTCCCAGAGCTAGGGGTCCTGGCCACTCCCACTGCAGTCCTGCTCAACAGGGCAGCACTCCTGGCCCACAGCCTGCCTGTGGGCCCCACTCTGCATGGAGGACCTGGAGACCACCCACCCAGGATGTGAACAGCTTCAGTGATCCAGACTTTTGCTGCCCAAGGCCTCCGATGGGGCACCTGGGCCAGCCCAGAATGTGTTTCCAATGGGAGCACTTGAGTCAACTCTGAGGACAGTGTCTGGGGAGGGGGAGGGACTTCCCAAGAGCCTGGAGTGAAACCCAGGCCCGCCTGGCAAGCAGCATGTCCAGCTGTGTCCCCGTTCCCACCACACGGCTGAGAGGGAGAACAGACGCCACCTTCCTTCACGGAGTGCCACGTGAGAACCCCCATGTGATGCGTCTCTGGCCAACACATCGAACCTGGGGCTCTGGGGTTTTTTCTGGGCCAGGGTCCAGCTGAGGGCACCTTCTCTCAGGGCCTTGCACACCTTTAGCGACTGCACATTTGGCAAGCTGGGGTCAGGCTCCCTGGGGTGGGGCAAAGAAGCTCAGGGCTTGGCCCCAAGCCTCTCTGGGGTAGCGGGGCCCCGCCCAGCTTCACAGCCTGGCGCTACCGAGACCACCCCCAGGCCACCATCCCGGGCAGGTCCAGGCTCCAGCAGGACTCCCACCTGACAGTCCTCCCACCTTACTTTTGTTACTAAAGGGAAAAGCTCTTGCCTCTTTTTCCTGGAGGTCATTTAGATTTATGGACTCTGCCTCCTGTTCCTGTAAAGACCAAAGAGGTAGTGAAGGCCGGGTTCCCGGGCGGGAGGACAGACATGCACCACTCCTGGGGCCTGACCTCGGCCTCCTGCCAGCCTCCATCCTCGTGTGTGCCTTCCTGCACCTCCTGCGTGCTGGCCTCCAAGCCGCTCTTCTCCGGGTCCCACTTTCCACGCTCATGACCCAGCTTCCCCAGGGTGCCGGAGGAGCTTTCCTTCTTGTCTTGTGCTAGGTCTGCCCAACTGCAGGAGGTGGAGGGACAGTGGCAGACAGCTGCAGACGCTCCGGGTCTCCTCTGGGCCTGTCTCCCTGGGCTTGAGGCTGATGCCCCGGGGGCTGCGGGCACCTGTGAGGGGCCCTGACCTGGCTCGGAGGTCTGGCTCGGAAGGGCCCCCCAACCTGGCCCTCCTGGCTCCCTCTGCTGACCCATCTTGGCTGGAAAACTTAACCCTGCACCACCGGGGTCTGGACTGGCAACGAGTTTACCTACAGCCAACCTGGGCTTATTTCAGAAAGCAGGGTCTAACCTTGCTCAAAGAACCAAAATCTGGTGAGTAGATGCAGCCCCCCTGCAGTGGGTCCACAGCTCACTCCCTGTGGAAGCCAAATGGGCCATGGCAGCCAGCAGGCTGGGGGTCCGTGGGTGGCCCTGCTGTTATTCACACCCACCTGGTGAACCCTTCTGCGGTCCACTGTGGTGTGTGGCCCGGGGCAAGAGGAAAGTAGCAGGCAGTGAGGACAGGGGCTCCTCCACCATCTGCAACGGTGACTTGGCCAAGGGTGTTGACCGGCTTGGCCAATGTGAGCAGACACTTTGAGCTGTGCCACCTGAAGGAATGTGGTCTTCCCAGCCCAAGTGCCCTCACCAAGGCCGTCGGCTTCCCTGAGCCCCCCAGGTGGGAGGTTCCCACGCCTTGAATGTCCTCTCTGATGCATGAGCCCCTCACTCTCACCAACTGATTGCACCTTTGGCCACTCTGGCGGCCAGACACCATCCTTGGTCTCCACTCAACGGGAGCCATTTGCAAAGAAGGGGCACTTGGCCCGTGCCTTGTCCATGGTGCTCACAGATCAACTGTTAGATCAGACACAGATTCTTGAGGAATGTAATGACTTTTAAGTCCCCTTTGATGGCAGGAGGGTGAGTGGGTGGGGGGACCCGAGCTGGGGTGGAATGTCCAGCTGAGATGCAGGGAGGCAAGAGCTCCCAGTGCAAGGTGTGGACACGCCGTCCAGGGCCCGTGCCCTTCTCCCTAAAGGGTTGTTTATCTCTAGGGTGGGCCCAGCGGTCTACTAGTGAGATGACACCTCCTTCCCCACAGGACCACGGGGTGTCTACTGAGAGGCGTTCAGCTGTGACTCTCAGGCCAGGGCCCCACAAGTTCTGAGGATCCCCTCTCCTGGCCCTGTTCCCACATGGAATTGCTCTCCAAATAAAGAGGATCTTCCACCCTCCCATCCAGGTCCTGGGTGGGGTCTTCTCAGGACCCAGGGCTCCCTTGGGCCCCTTGTAAGTGTCCACCTGATGCCCGGGTGCCCCCCCCCACGTCCACTCTCCTGTGTCTGCCTCACTTTTCCCAGCTCTAGCTTCACCCAGGCTAGCGCCACACCGGCTGCTTACCAGCTGGCATCTTCTGCGTTACTGCTTGGGTCTTTCCCCTGATCTTCAGACTCTGGGGAGGAAGGACAGAGCCTGTCAGCACCATCAGCACAGTCGCACCGCAGCTCCAGAGCCCGGGGTCCGCCCTGAGCTGCCCACAGCAGAGCTCAGCCCTCAGCCATGGCTACAGCTAACCTGAGTTCCTCCACCACCCGTCCCATGCCCAGCCCCTCCTGTATTGGCCATCGGCACTTTCCACAGCCTGGTGCCGGGTCTTGAACCTGGCTCAGCCCCAGCACACAGCCCATCCCCAGCCTCCAGCTTCTCCCTCCAGGACTCAGGTGAGGTACGGCCAGCTGATCACAGTAAATGCCTGAGGCTCCGGGACGTCTTGAAATTCCTCTGTCCCAGCACAGGTGGCTGGAGGTAGCTGAGCAGGAGGATGGGAGAAGCCCCCAAGCCCTGCCCCTGCTGGTTACCACCCCTACCAGGCTTCCTCTCATGGACAGATGGGACTTGAAACCCCACTTGGCTTGTCCAGGAAAATCCACCAATCCTCAATGCCTCTTGGCTGCCCCAAGGCACGTCGCCAGGATGTCTGTAGCAGGCTTTCTTCGTGACTCTCGTGACCCAGCTTCCCAAGAGCGCCAAAGGAATTTTCCTTCTCTTGTGCTAGACTTTCTATCTTGTGAGGATCTTGGCGTGAGAAACGATGGGGGCCCGGAACATCAACTCAGGTGAGCGGCATCCCAGTGCTCCCGGCAGGAACCAGGCCCGGCTGTTGGCCGCTGGCCTGCACCCAGCACCCACTGCTCCCTGGAGTGCTCCGCTCCAGGGAATCACTGCATTCTCTGCTCCCAGGAGCTTGCGAACCGGCACAGCCTTGTGAGGAAGCCACGTGCCAGGGGATTCTCCAAACCCTGGGTCCTCAGAGAGCCTCAGAGCGAGCAGATTCCAGACCCATGGGGCCTCTGCCATGTTGGAGCCAGGAATGGTGGTGGAGACTCCAGCTTCCTGCAGGTACTCTGACCTCCCACAACACCCATTCGGCCAGGTATTCAAACGCCACAGGGACATTCCAAAGCTTTAAATGAGGCTTGTGATGGAAGAAACCAGGCTAGGAGCTTCGAAGCAGCCTTGCCAGGAAGAATTTCCTCCCAGAGCTCGGTTAAGTCAGACAGGCCGCTCCAGGCCGGTCACTCAGCTGAGCCCACAGGCCCAAGGGGTGGCTGGGGAGTGAGGCTCTTCCCAGGAAGTGAGGCCAGCTGCCGACCACGAGGGGCTACCCTGACAGAGAAGCAATGAGTGAGGTCCAGAGGCGGAAGGTGGAGCCTTCGCGGGATCAGCAGGTGTCCAGGGAGCGTGTGGGCTCAAGGTGGCACCACAGCGGGGCTGGAACCCAGCGGATTCTCGCTCTGCTCTCGTCATCCTCTCCAATGTCCTCCGAGAGCACTGGTCTGCTATGCTCCACGGGGCCCAGGCCCAGACAAACCCTCTGCCCCCTACCCCAGTCCCCTCATGAAGTCAGACACCCCACCTTTCCTGAATCCCTGAGGCCTCCCTCTGATGCGGACATGGTGTCTCACCCATGCAGGCATCTGTGGGTGCATGTGGCACCAGCCACGTCACTGAGCTCACCGAGTCTGTGAGGGGTGAGAAGCCGAGTCCCTGCAGAAGTCAGTCCTGGGCAAGGCCATGTCTGACTCTACCAGCAATGCCTGGCCATTTCCTTGGGTCACAGGGCTGGAAATGCCTCCTGCTCTTCTCAAGCAGAATCTCAGCTGCTGAGGGGCAGCCACCAAGTTCCCGGGAGGATGCGCTCCTGGACTTGGGTCTTGGACCCTGAGGGTGCTGGTGCCTGTGGGAGGTCGTGGTCTCGGACCCTGAGGGTGCTGGTGCCTGCGGGAGGCTGTGGTCTCAGACCTTGAGGGTGCTGGTGCCTGGGGGAGGCCGTGGTCTCGGACCCTGAGGGTGCTGGTGCCTGCGGGAGGCTGTGGTCTCAGACCTTGAGGGTGCTGGTGCCTGGGGGAGGCCGTGGTCTCGGACCCTGAAGGTGCTGGTGCCTGTGGGAGGCTGGGCAGGGTCGTTTGGGAGTCTTTGCTGATGGACAGGACAAGCAGCCATGCAGAAGCCGGACCTCCCTGCCAACAATGCGGCTCCTTCCATCGTTGGGCAAATCCAGCAGGTGTTGGGGGAAGGGTCAGCAAGGACGGGGCTCGGTCCCTCCCTCCATCTGACCCTGGCCTCTAAGTCCATGCCATAGTGGCACCGGGTAGGATTCTTCGAGACCTGCTCCTGTCCCTACTTAAATTCCCGCTTAGCAGCCCTGGCGTAACTTCTTTTGAGAAGTTTGCTTGCCTTGAGGGAACCCCGCGGGGAGGAGATGGGGTGCAGCGTAACTGCTCACGCCCCCAAAGCAGCACATCTTTGGATTTTTAAACTCAGAGAAGAACATGTATTTTTACATCATTACCTCTGAAAACTGTCCGTAGGGCTTGAGCAGACAAACCCCAAGCCCCACTGGGCTGTTTCACTTCCCAGGCCTCGCGGACACCCTTGCCTAGGGGAGGCAGAGTTGCCAAGGCCGCAGGAGGTGAGGGGCACGCCAGCTCGCACCTGGGGGCCAGCCCCTCAGCCCCATGCTCTGGGCCAGTGTTCGAGGTGTGAGGGGCGACTCTAGCATCCTCCCCAGGCCCACGTCCCTGCCAAACACTGGCCATGCAGGTTCCTCGCTGGTGCGGGAGGCCGGAGGCTCCCTGCAGGGACCCAGGCCCTCACCAGGGCCTCCTTGCAAATGGGGGCCTGGCCACAGTCCTCTCTCCAGGCGTCGGCCAGCTCCAGAGGCCCCTGAGAGTCCCGGACCCGCCCTCCTCTTACCCCTCCCACCCTTGGCTGTACCTGGCTGCAGCCCCCACAGCTCGCCCCGGGCCAGCAGCACAAGGCCATCCCTGCAGCCCTGGGTGGGTTACAGGTGTGGAGCTGGAATGGCTCCCACTTCCAGCCTTAGTGCTCTGAGCACAGGGCAGTGGGAGGCAGGAGGCCTGGCCTGGTCCCTGAATCTCAGGCCCCAAATCACTGACCAAGGGGAAGTCAGGCTGGGAACTGTGCCAGGCAAACCTGCCTCCCATCCTCATCCTAAATCAGAGCTGCCGAGATAAATGGCCACAGGCCTCCCTCAGCATTCGCCCAGGAGGAAATTCCCTGTGGACTTCAAGAGCTCTACCCTAAAGCAGTTCTGTGGAATTTCACGCTGGCAACACAAACGGACTGCTGACCTTCACAGGTGCAGGACCAGGCCAGAGTGCAGTGTGCTGCCTCTGCTCACCTGAGACCACTGTTGGCGGCTTCCTCCGGCTGTTTACGTAAAAATGCAGCCACTGAGCCAGACTAGGGCACAGGTGACTCCTTAGCCCCCTCACGTGTAAGCTGTTTGTTCAGTGAAGGGCTGATCAGAGACCCAAAAGCATGTAGCATGTGTCTCCTCTCTACCTGGGACCTGAAAAGCCCTCCTGCTTCAGGCTGTCCCCTTTCCTGACGGAACCAATGGATCCCTCATAGGGGCTGAGGCCTCACGTCTCCCTACAATGTGTGACACCAGGCTGTGCACTGCCCGGACACATGCTGTCCCCCTAAAATGTATGACACTAGGCTGTGCCCCCACCTAGACACATGTCCCCCTAAAATGTGTAACACCAGGCTGTGCCCCCACCTAGACACATGTCCCCCTACAATGTGTGACACCAGGCTGTGCACTGCCTGGACACACTGTCCCTCTAAAATGTATGACACCAGGCTGTGCCCCCACCTAGACACACACCATCCCCCTAAAATGTATGTCACCAGGCCGTGCCCCACTCAGGCACGTGTGGCCAGGAGCTCCTGAGGCTGTCCTGGTGTGGCCCTAATCTTGGGAAGTGGACTTTCTAGGTAGGCTGGGCCCTGATGCAGGCACTTTGGGTTCAGTGCCTGCTGGAGCAGCCATGCTATCCACCCGCTCCCCACGGCCCCTACCTGGCTCTTTGTGCAGCTTCCTAGGGCGGCTGGGAGGGTCTCCCTTCAGCTGCAGGACCCCCAGACTCCTGCTCCGCTGAGGTTCAGTAGCCTCGCTGGCTGACTTGAGGTGCCCAAGGGCCACTCCCAAGGGCAAGGCCCCGGGGCCAGGCCGGGGTCTCCTGTGTGTGGCTCCTGAGTCCTTCTCCATCCTCCAGCCCAGCCTCAGCCCCAGCGCATGGCTGCCAACCCCACCCCTTGCTGTAACAGGAGTGGTCAGGAGGTGCTGGGTGCACTGTCGCCACGGAGCTGCTGTGACATCACTGCAAGGTCAGAGGCCAAAGGTTGGCTCATCCCTGCGCAGCACAGCACGGCCTTCCCTGCAGACCAGGGTTGGGGTGGGTTGTGTGTTTCCCTTCTTTCCTGCAGGCCGGGGTTGGGGTGGGTTGTGTGTTTCCCTTCTTTCCTGCGGGCCGGGGTTGGGGCAGGTTCTGCATTTTCACTTCTCTGGTCTCTCCACCAGGGAGGGCAGGGAACTGGCACCAGGCCTCATCATGGCTCCCTCAGCAGATGCTGGTCTCCTTCTGTGACAGGATATTTGAGTCTTTCTCTCCCTATCAAGGACAAAGGGGACAGACATGAACTCAGAAAGACAAAGGCAGCCCCGGCAGGCACTAGTGGGGTGCAAACGCTGCCTGTCCAGCCACCCCCAACCCACGCAGCACCAGGACGAAACCCTGCTGTGGCCAGGGCTCTGGGCCTTTCCAGGCAGGGGGGTGTGAACTGCCCTGGTGGGTGGGGGTTTGTTGGAACTCCCAGGCAGGGGGGATGTGAACTGCCCCGGCGGGTGGGGGTTTGCTGGAACTCCCCGGTAGGCGGTGTAAACAGCAGGAGCTCTTCCCTCTGGTGCTGGAGCTACAAGCCCAGGGTCAACGTGTCTCTCGGGGCTGGCTCTCTGAGGCCTCTCTCCTTGGTGCAAAGATGGCATCTTCCCTGCATCTTTGTGGTTGTCCTGTGTGCTGTGTCCTCATCTCCTTTCTAATAAGGACGCCGGTCACACTGGGTCAGGGCCACTCTGATGGCTTCACTTTACCTTGGTGATCTCTACAGCGCTACGCCCAAGTGCAGCCACATCCTGGGGTCCTGAGGGTCACAGGGTCGCAGCTTCAACATGGGGACTTGTGGGGACAGTTTGGCCAGTACTGATTGAAAGAGAAAATCCCGAGACGCTGCCCCAGCACACCGTCTCCTCCAGCCTCCAGACTACGGTGGGTGGGGAGGCAACATTTTACCTCCTGGGGTTTTCTGGTTGGGCCCAAGAATTAAAACTGGCAGACAAGCGGGGGGAAGGCACACCAGTCTGTGTGGCTGGGAGCCCTGGGTTTCCTTCCCAAAATGGGAGGTAACACCCCACAGGAAAGATGCTCTCCGGAGCCACAAGAAAGCCACATTCTTATCTTTATGGACGGAAGAAAAAGGGAAGCGGGGAGGTGCTTCTGCAACTTCTGTTTCAGCTCAAAACAACCCTTAGGTCAGTGTGGCTTATTTGGCAACCCCTTCTGGCCCTTCACAGGCATATTGCAAGCCTGCGCCCTGCCCTGCCGCCTGCAGCTGGCACTCCTCAGCATCATGGGGAAGCAGGTGTGACCCCCCAGGCTGCAGGCTCCCCTGCTTCCAGTCTTTCCTTCGAAGGAGCCCACAGCCTCTCAGCGCCCAGGAGGCCTCAGCTCTTCGGGCACGTGGCCGGTGCAGGGTGGGAGCCCTGGCCTCCTGGAACAGCTCCTCACAGGCGCCTGCTCTGGATGCTCTCATGTCGGGAGCCCCCCAGATGGTGCCAGGAGGGAAGCAGAAGCTGCTGTCTCTCTTCAAGTGCTGGGTCATCTGGAGCAAGAAGAGTAAGTGGCCATCACTGGGGTCTCCACAAAGCCACCCTGCTGTTCCACGGTGGGTGTATTAGTCCGGTTCACGCTGCTGATAAAGACACACCCAAGACTGGGAAATTTATAAAGAAAAAGATACTAATGGACTTACAGTTCCACATGGCTGGGGAGGCCTCACAGTCCTGGGGGAAGGTGAAAGGGAATCGAGTGAGAGGTGTCCCCTTCTAAAACCATCACATCTCATGAGACCTACTCGCTACCAAGAGAATAGTACGAAGAAACTGCCCCAGTGATTCAATCACCTCCCACTGGGTCCCTCCCCCACACACAATTATGGGAGCTGCCATTCAAGATGAGATTTGGGTGGGGACACAGCCAAACCATATCAGTGGGAGACTTAGAGGGGCTTCCAGCCCCCACAGACCCCCACCTCCCACAGCCCTGCGGTACCCTCCTGGTTGCTCTGAGAGGGGCTTCAGCTCTCCACGTTCCCCGGGGCCTCATCCTCCTAGCCCTTCTACTTCCTCTTGGAGGCGCTGACCTTGGCCCTCCCGGGCTGAACCCAGCACAGTGTGCCCAGAGTGAGAACTGAGCCCCCAGCTCCTGGCACTGCCTGAATCCCTGCCGGGGAAGTGCACCTCCAGGAAGACTGGCCGGCCTCCCAGGCAGGGTGCCCCCACCTGTAGGGGTCCATCCACCACTCACAGCCACACCCAGACTGGCAGACAGGGCAGCGCTGTCCCTGCCTGACCCTCACCTCCACAGACAGAGGAGGCCGGCCAGGCAGCACCAAGCCTCCCCCTTCCCTGGGAGAAAGGCCTGGCTCCGTGTCCCCAAAGCCACACCTCTGAATTTTTCTCATGCCAGAACTTGTGACTCACAATAGAATTACCAAAAAAGAGAAATCCAAATGGAAAAAGAAAAGGAATAAAGAAATGAGGAAATGCATCCCTAGCCATGGGGTCTTTACCCAGAGGCCCCCTTCACCTTCTCCTGCCCCAGGAGGGACAGTGGCCACCTGCCTGGAGGGGTGGTCTGTTCTCTACTCCCAGGGACTCCAGGTTGCCTCGCCCTCCATGTTCCTGGAGAAGGCAGCATGTGGGTGGAGTATGTCTTCCCAACACTGCCTGAGTGGACGCCATCTCCAGCCGGACTCCTCCGGCCCTTGGCAGTGTGGACCCACACGTTTCCTGAGGGCATCATGGGGCCAGACTGTCACCTGAGGCACCACAGTTGAGTAGCACTGTCAGAGCAGCACCGCCCGTCACCAGAGATGTCACCTGTCACCAGGGCAGTGCCACCTGTCAGAGCAGTGCCACCCATCACCAGAGGCGTCACCTGTCACCAGAGGCATTACCTGTCATTATGGTGATAACACCTGCCAGAGCAGTGCACCCATAACCAGCCATGTCACCTGTCACCAGAGCAGTGCCACCCATCATGAGATGTCACCTGTCACCAGCCATGTCACCTGTCATCAGGGTGGTGCCACCTGCCAGAGCAGTGCCACCCGTCACCAGAGATGTCATCTGTCAACAGCGATGCCACTTGGCATCAGCAATGTCATTCTGCTCCCCAGACACCACCCTCCTCCCTGTATCCCCCAACACCCCCAATACCCACATGTGCAATTCCCAGTAGGCACTACTGGAAAACCAAGCCAGTCCTCAGAAAGAATAAAACATCTGTTTTAATTGTCCAGTAAAATACATTTCAAATCATTAGTATTTTATAAACAGAAACATTAAGTTATAAATCCATGTTAAAAATTGCAGCTCAGTGCAGCCCCAACAGCTGTGTGTCCAAAGTCTATTTTTTTTAACATTTTCCTCCACTATTTTTGTGACAACAAATAAAGTCTCTATTCACCATCTAGATTAAGAGTCTGAACTACAGTATTTTCACAGAAGAACAGGGAGAAGGTACAAGGACACACGGTGCTGTGTATGTAAACGTGCCTCCCACACACCTGCCATCTGCATTCCAGGAAGACGCCTTTCGGAAAGGCCTCCTCGGCAGTGTGAGGTCTGGAGGGGTCTGCCTGGGCCCTGTTTTTAGGAGGCTCCCCTCCCAATAAAAAAGCAGCCCCAGTACCTGCCCCGCACAGCATCTGGGGGTTTGTAACACAGGTGCAACACTGGCCGTGGGCCCTGGAGGAACATCTGCACCCCCGTAGCCCCTGTACCTGAAACTGAATTTCTTCCCTTCTCTGATTTTCTGGAGAACCTGCAGCTGCCCTTCCTGAGACAGGCTCCATTCCCTTGCCTTTGTGCTCTGCAGCTTCTCTTTAGTGGGGATAGGTTTTGACGTTCTGAGTTACTTTGTATCAAAGAGCTAATTAAAAATGGTCCTTTAAAAACATTAAGAAAAACAGCTCAAAAAATGCACACTTCTAGTTTAAAAATCTTCCCCAAACTTCCACAGGGGGTGGCAAATGTTAATTCTAACTTTAAACCTCATTCAACAGCAAAATAACTTGTGCTTCCACATGGGCTCAGCAGACACCCGGAAACGCTGGAGCCCACACTGTTCCCTCCAAGGGTCTCTGCAGACAGAACCTGGATCCTCCAAGCACCAAGGGCATCCTCAGATTGGGATTTCTGTGTAGTTCTGCACATCCCAGCCACAAAACTGACCCTTCAACCAGGAATAAAACCAACCTCAAAAGTAGAACAGGGAGGCCACCTCCCATGGCTGCCTAAATGGCGGGCACAGCGGGAGAGTGATGCTCTGAATGTCCCAACGTGATGAAGCCAAAAGCCAAGGTGGGGTTGGGAGGCCACAAGGGCGCAGAGCCACAGAGCCCAGTGCCACGCGCACCGTGCACACGGCCTAAGGTGCATGTTGCAGCCGACTGGATGAGCCGTGGCTCCCTGAGGCCAGCTGTGGTGTGGCCAGGGCACAGTCCACGCTTCCTGATCCTTCAGCTGATCCCTGGATCCCCACAAACAAGGAGCAAAGAGCACAAAACCAAAGGACCACATGGTCCACAAGGCCGGGCGGGCTTTCTGCAGAGGGTGCGGCAGCGGTGGCGGTTCTGGGAGAGGGAAACCTTGGCCACTTGTCCGTGGCCAGGGTGGCATGGATTGCTCTGGTGACTCTGCACTCTTCCTTCTCTTCTCCCTCCCAAAGGCTGCAGCTTTGCGTGGGCAGCTCACAGGCACCACTGGGGGTGTCCTGCACTTTAAATGGAATGAGTGGAGGTCTCGGACTGCTGCCGGATGTAGCTCTGGAAGCTCTTGTCTCCGATGGGGTGCTCCCTGAAAAGGGGGATAGCGGAGGGAATGAGGCACAGCCCCCACTGCCTGGCACTCACCCGCGCACTGTGGGATCTCTTCCTATTCCTAAATGTGACACACTTACACTGGAATCCACACAAAAAATACAGAGGAGCCAGAGGAAACATAGTGCCCCTGGAAGCACCCACGGGGAATCTGGTCTGTGTGCACAGGCAGGTGACACGTGCCAGTATGTGCACGTGTGTGCTCGCTGCAGTTTGTGTGAGGTGCACATACAGACTTGGAACATGGAGACGGTATGCTCAGGTGTGTAGAACATGCACTGCAGAGAGGAGGTCCTCACATGTGGGGAGCATAAGCTCTGTCCATCTGTGTGCTGGGACACTCAGCAGGCGTGGGCACTTCCTCCCCACATGCACACCTCCCTTGGACCCCGTGTGTGTACCTCCTAACCATGTGTCTGCCTCCTCCCATATGTGTGTCTACCTCCCACATGTACATCTCCTCCCATGTGTGTGCACCTCCTCCCACGTGTACCTCCTAACCATGTGTCCGCCTCCTGTGTGCACCTGCCATGTGTCTGCCTCCTCCCATGTGTGTGTACTACCATGTGTGTCCACCTCCTCCCTGTCCACCTCCCACGTGTACCTCCTCCCATGTGTCCGCCTCCTGTGTGAACCTCCCATGTGTCTGTCTCCTCCTGTGTGCACTTCCTCCCATGTGTCCACCTCCTCCCACGTGTACACCTCCTACGTGCCCACCTCCTCCCACGTGTGTGCACTTCCTCCCACGTTTTGTCACCTCCTATTATGTGTGCCACGTTTACACCTTCTATTACAACAAACTGCATCATGCTTCACATGTTTTCAACCCACTGGCTTTTGGCCATGAGGTCGATAGGCCTGAAGCAACATATTTGGAAGGCAAATGGGGCTCTCTCCCTAGAGTGGTGTCAAGAGGGATCTGAGGCGATGAGGTCAGAGGTGAAGTCACAGTTCTCGGGATGCTGCAGGCTCAGTCCCCTGAGCAACTCAGTCCATATCAGGGCCACAAGGACCTGTCACTCTCCCAGAGCCTCACCACTGCCCTTCCCAGACCAGACCCACAGGGTGGAAGGAAGGAAAGAAGGCTTAAGAAGGAAGAAAGGGAGGGAGGGAAGGAGGGAGGGAGAAGGGGGGAAGAAAAGGAGAGAGGAGGTAGATGGAAGTGAGGAGGAGGATGCACAGCTACACGGGGCTCTCTGGCTCATCCACCCCTGAACGAGCCTGACTGATCCTGGGTACCCACTGGCTGGAGAAGAGTGACACAGACACACCTGGTCACTCCAGGATGGGAGCCAGTCTAGCACTTTACATAGGTTACCTCAATCTTCCAGCAACTCATGAGGGCCTCACAATCCTCTGTCCCATGGAGTGAGGGGGAGTGGAGCTTAGCTAAGTGGCCACCCAGCCTGCAGCTGGTGACTGCACTGAATGGACTCTGCACCCTGCACCTGCCTTATGAGACAAGACTGGGTTTCGTCCAGAGCTGGCCCTGCTCCTGGACACCATGGGTGGCCTGGGGAGATGGCAGAGGGTGTGCAATTCAAGGCAGAGCAAAGCCTGGGCCTAGAGAGACTGCCAGAGCATGTTGAGACCAGCACAGCAGAGAGGCTGGGAGGCAGCCCAGAGAGCAAAGGCGGCACCGGCTCCGAAGGAAGGAATGGCAGAGCCGGGCCACACCCACTGACCACTGCCGGGGTAAGTCCACTGACCACTGCTGGTCACATCCACTGACCGCCGCCAGGTGCCAGCCAGGCCCAGAGTTCCCTGCAGTCCACCCCCACAGCAACGTCCTGCCCCCCAACACTGGCCATCCAGGGTGGGCACGGGAGCTACACTCACTGGCTTCCGTATCTCGTCTTCTTGAACTTGTCCCTCTTATACTGGGCATGCTCCTGCTCCAAAGCCCCGACCCCAGCGATGACCTGCTTCAGCGTCTTGTAGGTCTCCTGGGGGTCGTCAATGACAAATGTTGAGTACTCCTCCTGCTCTGGGCCGTCGTACACAGATTTGCTCCCACAGGCCTCTGTGGAGGGCGGAGGGGTCAGTGCAGGGCAGGAACCCAGGGCCTAGCGGCCACTGGCCCCATCACACAGCTGTGTCGCGGCAGGTAGGTCCCACCACAGCACAGGTTTTCCCAACGCAAGCTCCTCCAGAAAGGGCTGGCCGCTCACTCGGAAATGCAGATGGACAAGAAACCACCCCTGCAGGCGGGTGAGTTGTGCCCACATGGAGCCCTGGAAAAGCCCACTAGGAGCTGGAAGCTGAGCAACCTCGCCCACCTCTGAGGGTCTGCTGCACCTGCTCCCAGCCTTGTCTCCAACCAGCCATTCTCATGCGGGATGTGCACATCCCTGCAGCCCCACTGGCCCACCCAGCCAGAACCAGGAGGGAGTCCACTTGCACCTGGATGCTGGCCTGGGTGGCTCAAGGGTCCTGGGGCAGCCCTGAAGTTAGCCTCGGGGGTGAGCATAATGGACTTTGCCTTACAAAGGGCCAGAATATTGATTAAAAAATAAAACCGGAATAGCTAGAAAACATCACAAGAAGGAATCCATAATTCCTCTTTTGACTCTTGCTTTAAAATGGAGGGTTCAGGGAAATGTCACGGTGGCATGTGAGTGCGTGGATGCCAGCACAGCACCTGCTGCACTTTTATGAAATGGCCTCATGATCAAGACGCAAAGTTGTGGAGCACAGAATGGATCAGCTGATGGGTTTCTACTGACTGAGCATCCATGGTCCCCAAGGACAGATCCATGTGCTTGTCCAAGCATGAGCCAGGAGACATGGCATCCCTACAGCTGGGACACCAGGTCAAGGGGAGGACGGCCTAAGGCACAACCACCAGAGCAGTCGCCACTGCTGCATGTAGCCCCAGGCCCCTGAGACACAGGCCCCCAGCACTGAGCCGCATTCTGAAGTTAACTATGAGGCCGTGGCCTGTGAAGACTGGTCCTTTAGCTGACCAAAGCATAACAAGGTGACAGTGAAGGTGACAGTGAAAAGATAGCATTTACATAGCGGCTGCGCATGAGCCCGTGACGAGGCTCTGTGTAAGCCACTCCGATCTTCCCCAAAACTCTACCGAAGGGGATATGCCCTGTTCTGTACAGCAAGTAGTTTGTCCAGGACACACCTTGACCACAGCGACCTGCCGGCCCCCATGGCAAAGCAGCTCTTTTCCCTCCTGCCACCAACTTCCAGGCCATCTGCACAATCACAATGGCATGACCCAAGGCCAAGCCAGCCCTCCGTGTGGGACACCACCATGCCCTGCCATGAAGCCTTACCTGCAGGACTGGGTGCCACTCTATAACCAACTTCAGTATATGTCAAAGAACCAGAGTGGGCCCAAGGGAGGTTGGCAAGGGGAGAGGCCACACCACGTGTGGGATGGGGAGCGGACAGTGACCACCTGTGTCCCACACAGGCACAATGGCACAGCACGCCTCAGCCCCACAGAAAGGACCTGCTACACTGGACGGCAATAATCCCATGGGCCAAGTGTCAAAGTCATAAGAACTCTCCAACAACAAAACCATCTGCCTTGAGGATGTGCTGAGATTCCAGCAGAGGCCTGAACACCACAGAGGAGGGACTCAGTGCCCGGAGAGGTAAGGACCCTCGACTGAGCTTTCCAAACATGCTGATGTGCTGTAAACCCTTGTGGAGAGTATGTGGGATGTGTTTATAGTCCATCCACCCATCACTCACCCACCTATCCATCCACCATCACTCACCCATCCATCCATCCACCCATCACTCACCCATCTGTCCATCCACCCATCACTCACCCACCTATCCATCCACCATCACTCACCCATCCATCCATCCATGCATCACTCACCCATCCATCCATCCACCCATCACTCACCCACCTATCCATCCACCATCACTCACCCATCCATCCATCCACCATCACTCACCCACCTGTCCATCCACCATCACTCACCCATCCATCCATCCATGCATCACTCACCCATCCATCCATCCACCATCACTCACCCATCCATCCATCCACCATCACTCACCCATCCATCCATCCACCATCACTCACCCATCCATCCATCCACCATGACTCACCCATCCATCCATCCACCATGACTCACCCACCTGTCCATCCACCATGACTCACCCACCTGTCCATCCACCATCACTCACCCATCCATCCATCCACCCATCACTCACCCATCCATCCATCCACGCATCACTCACCCACCTGTCCATCCACCATCACTCACCCACCCGTCCATCCACCCATCACTCACCCACCTATCCATCCACCATCACTCACCCACCTGTCCATCCACCATCACTCACCCATCCGTCCATCCATGCATCACTCACCCATCCATCCATCCACCATCACTCACCCATCCATCCATCCACCATCACTCACCCACCTGTCCATCCACCATCACTCACCCATCCATCCATCCACCCATCACTCACCCATCCATCCATCCACACATCACTCACCCACCTGTCCATCCACCATCACTCACCCATCCGTCCATCCACCCATCACTCACCCACCTGCCCATCCACCATCACTCAGCCATCCGTCCATCCATGCATCACTTACCCACCCGTCCATCCACCATCACTCACCCACCCGTCCATCCACCCATCACTCACCCACCTATCCATCCACCATCACTCACCCATCCGTCCATCCACTATCACTCACCCATCCGTCCATCCACCATCACTCACCCACCTGTCCATCCACCATCACTCACCCACCTGTCCATCCACCATCACTCACCCACCTGTCCATCCACCCATCACTCAGCCATCCATCCATCCACCCATCACTCACCCACCTATCCATCCACCATCACTCACCCATCCATCCATCCATGCATCACTCACCCATCCATCCATCCACCATCACTCACCCATCCATCCATCCACCCATCACTCACCCACCTGTCCACCCACCATCACTCAGCCATCCATCCATCCATGCATCACTCACCCACCTCTCCATCCACCATCACTCACCCACCCATCCATCCACCATCACTCACCCATCCATCCATCCACCCATCACTCACCCATCCATCCATCCACCCATCACTCACCCATCCATCCATTCACCCATCACTCACCCACCTGTCCATCCACCATCACTCACCCATCCGTCCATCCACCCATCACTCACCCACCTGCCCATCCACCATCACTCAGCCATCCGTCCATCCATGCATCACTTACCCACCCGTCCATCCACCATCACTCACCCACCCGTCCATCCACCATCACTTACCCACCCGTCCATCCACCATCACTCACCCACCCGTCCATCCACTATCACTCACCCATCCGTCCATCCACCCATCACTCACCCACCTGCCCATCCACCATCACTCAGCCATCCGTCCATCCACCCATCACTCACCCACCCATCCATCCACCATCACTCACCCACCCGTCCATCCACCCATCACTCACTCACCTATCCATCCACCATCACTCACCCATCCATCCATCCACCATCACTCACCCATCCATCCATCCACCCATCACTCACCCACCCGTCCATCCACCATCACTCACCCATCCATCCATCCACCCATCACTCACCCACCCGTCCATCCACCCATCACTCAGCCATCCATCCATCCACCCATCACTCACCCACCTATCCATCCACCATCACTCACCTACCCGTCCATCCACCCATCACTCACCCACCTATCCATCCACCATCACTCACCCACCTATCCATCCACCATCACTCACCCATCCATCCATCCATGCATCACTCACCCATCCATCCATCCACCATCACTCACCCATCCATCCATCCACCATCACTCACCCACCTATCCATCCACCATCACTCACCCATCCATCCATCCATGCATCACTCACCCATCCATCCATCCACCATCACTCACCCATCCATCCATCCACCATCACTCACCCATCCATCCATCCACCATCACTCACCCACCTGTCCATCCACCATCACTCACCCACCTGTCCATCCACCATCACTCACCCATCCATCCATCCACCCATCACTCACCCATCCATCCATCCACACATCACTCACCCACCTGCCCATCCACCATCACTCAGCCATCCGTCCATCCATGCATCACTTACCCACCCGTCCATCCACCATCACTCACCCACCCGTCCATCCACCCATCACTCACCCACCTATCCATCCACCATCACTCACCCATCCGTCCATCCACTATCACTCACCCATCCGTCCATCCACCATCACTCACCCACCTGTCCATCCACCATCACTCACCCACCTGTCCATCCACCATCACTCACCCACCTGTCCATCCACCATCACTCACCCACCTGTCCATCCACCCATCACTCACCCATCCATCCATCCACCCATCACTCACCCATCCATACATCCACCCATCACTCACCCATCCATCCATCCACTATCACTCACCCACCTGTCCATCCACCATCACTCACCCATCCATCCATCCACCCATCACTCACCCACCTATCCATCCACCATCACTCACCCACCCGTCCATCCACCATCACTCACCCACCTGTCCATCCACCATCACTCACCCATCCATCCATCCACCCATCACTCACCCACCTGTCCACCCACCATCACTCAGCCATCCATCCATCCACCCATCACTCACCCACCTCTCCATCCACCATCACTCACCCACCCATCCATCCACCATCACTCACCCATCCATCCATCCACCCATCACTCACCCATCCATCCATCCACCCATCACTCACCCACCCATCCATCCACCATCACTCACCCACCCGTCCATCCACCATCACTCACCCATCCATCCATCCACCATCACTCACCCATCCATCCATCCACCCATCACTCACCCACCTATCCATCCACCATCACTCACCCATCCATCCATCCCCCCATCACTCACCCACCCGTCCATCCACCATCACTCACCCATCCATCCAACCACCCATCACTCACCCACCCATCCATCCACCCATCACTCACCCACCCGTCCATCCACCCATCACTCACCCACCCGTCCATCCACCATCACTCACCCATCCATCCAACCACCCATCACTCACCCATCCATCCATCCACCCATCACTCACCCACCCGTCCATCCACCCATCACTCACCCACCTGTCCATCCACCATCACTCACCCATCCATCCATCCACCCATCACTCACCCATCGGTCCATCCACCAATCTACCTGCCCACTCAGCTACCTACCCGGCCATCTGTCCAGCACACTCGTCCAGGTGCTGGGCAACTGCTCTGTGCCAGGCCTGGGAAGGTCACTGCGGTTTGAATTTGTGTCCCCACTCAAATCTCAGGTCAAACTGTAATCCCTTGTGCTGCAGGAGGGGCCTGGAGGGAGGTGATGGGGTCATAGGGGTGGGCTTTCACCTTGTTGTTCTCACGATGGGGGTTCTCATGAGCTCTGCTTGTTTCAGGAGGGGCCTGGAGGGAGGTGATGAGGTCATAGGGGTGGGCTTTCACCTTGCTGTTCTCACAATGGGGGTTCTCATGAGGTCTGCTTGTTTCAGGAGGGGACTGGAGGGAGGTGATGAGGTCATAGCGGTGGGCTTTCACCTTGCTGTTCTCACAATGGGGGTTCTCATGAGGTCTGCTTGTTTCAGGAGGGGCCTGGAGGGAGGTGATGGGGTCACAGGGGCAGACTTTCACCTTGCTGTTCTCCTGATGGGGTTTCTCAAGAGCTCTGCTTGTTTGAAATTGTGTGGTGCCTCCCCCATCACTCTCTCCTGCATGTAGGACATGTCTTCTTCCTCTTCACCTTCCACTGTGATTGAAAGTTTCCCAAGGCCTCCCCAACCATGCTTCCTGTACAGCCTGCAGAACTGTGAGTCAATAAACCTCTTTTTTTTTTATAAATTACCCTGCCTCAGGCAGCTCTTTATAGCAGCATGAGAACTAATACACCAGGCTCTGGGGATGGGGAGGCTGGCAAGTGCCTAGGGGAAGACACTTCCAAGGTAAACAGAGTCTTCTAGACTGAGATGCAGGGTATTCCTGGCAGAGGAAGGGCCTGAGCTGTTACATGGGGTGCACAGCCTGGAAGAGGCTGAGCAAGGCTGGAGGGCGGCACACGGCACAGCTGGTCAGGGAGGTCCTGGTCGGCATCTTTCAGAACCTGGGTCTTGTGTATGATGACCTCAACCCCTGAGGCTCCTTGACTCTGGCCTCCACGATGCTGGCCCCTGCTATGAGAGTGCTGGAGAGGCTGGCCCAGGCAGTCTTGGCCACCTGGAGGCCTTGTGTCATCTGCATAGCATCTGGTGACCTCAGACCCAGGGACAGCACCCAGCACACTTGCTGGGGGAGAAGATGCTGTGGTGGGTGATAGCCCATGAGCGCCTGCATGTGTGTGCATGCCTGCATGTGGGCCTGCATCTGTGAGTGAGCGTGTCCTGTGAGTGCCTGCATGTGTGGTTGTTTGTGCATGTGTGTGCATGCCTGCATGTGGGCCTGCATCTGTGAGCAAGCATGGCCCATGAGTGCCTGCATGTGTGATCGTCTGCATGTGTGTGCATGCCTGCATGTGGGCCGGCATCTGTGAGCGAGCATGGCCCATGAGCGCCTGCATGTGTGGTTGTCTGTGCATGTGTGTGCATGTGGGCCTGTGTCCGTGAGCAAGCATGGCCCATGAGTGCATGTGTGGTTGTCTGCATGTGTGTGCATGCCTGTGTGCAGGAAGTGCTACCTTGCTCGTCTGCACGTACATGTGCCTGTGTGTTCATTTCACGCATGTATGGCTGGGCACATGTGTGCATATATGTGTATGTGCCTGTGTTTGTGTATGCCTGGAACCCATGCACACCCAGGGTGTGTGGTGCTGGAGAATGGGTGTGGCTGAGCTCACAGCTGGGCAGCGGCATGGACACTCAGGCAGGACTCGTGTTTCCAGGCCAAGGCATCCTCCACACTTCTGGGTTAAATAAGCAGAATGAAAAGAAGAAAATCTAACAGGCGTAATTCCAGGCACATTCTGCTCTATTTCCATTCTGAGTGGGACTCAAGGGCCTCATACAATCTCTAAGAGCAGATCTGAGCTGTACCAGACCTCAGCATAGAAACAACACAGCTGCTTCACCCCACCCCGTGGCTCTTCTTGTCCCTGCCTCTCCTCAATTACAGACCTCAAACCACTGCCCCCATGTTGTCTCATTGAGCTTACCCGGATTGCTGTTTCAATTCTGCAAAGCAATTAAATGTCAGAGTTAATAATATGGCATAAAGATTTGAAAAACATAGTGTGCCTGGTGCTGTTTCAAAAATATATACGGTATCATTATCCGTAACACTAAATTGCTTGGCAGAATTAAATAGCATGTCTGCACAGACATACATGCATGCTCACATGGGCCCACAGACATGCATGCATACTCACACATGTGCACACACATTCCCATGCATGCACAAATACATATGCACTCACATGTCCACACATTCACTCTCATATATGTCCACTCATGCACACACACATTTACAGATTCACATACACATGTGTCCACACATCTCACATGTGCCCACACATTCCCACACATGCACAATGCATGGTCACATGTGTCCACATGTCCACACATGCTCTCACACACACACTCACACTTGTACACATGCACATACATGCCCACACATTCACACATGTTCACACATCCACACATCTCATACATGTGCTCACACATTCCCATGCATGAACAAACGCATGGTCACACCTGTGTCCACATGTCCACACATGCTCTCACATGTCCACTCACACATGCACACACATGTCAACACTCACATGCATGTCCACACATGTGCACACATGTGTCCACACATTCACACAAGCTCACGTGCCTACACACATGCACACATCTCATGTCCACATACATGCATGCACACACACGTCCATACACAGGCAATTGTCCCTCTGGAAAACACAAAAGAATGACAAAAATAGTGTCCTTTAAAGAATTTGGCGGTACAAAGTTAAATTCCATCTAAAAGTTATCTACAGAACCTATTATCGAGGTAATTTTCTGCCAAATAGCTGGCTAGCCTGCAGAAAGCTTTTCCCATCCATCCATGCTACAGACATGTAGCCCACAGTACACCAGAGGCTCAGACCACAGGTGTTCATCTGCAGCTGGGCCTTGCCAGGCGTCCCCTTGCTGCACGGCTCTGTGTGCCGGCGGACTCACCCTGCATCTTCTCCAGCTTGCTCATGTATGAGTTGAAGAGGGAGTAGATACGCTCTGTCTCACGGTCCCCATCAATATCCAGCTGGATGTTGGCTGGGAGGCCGCTGTCCAGACAGCGAGAACAGAAAGATAAAAACACGTATTTAAACAATGCTTTTAATAATGATATTAATTTTTAAAATGTCACTGAAGGAAGGCGACAACTGTGTTGGAAGTGAAACTGGAGACAGGACCCATGTTCCCTCCATCCGTACACAGCAGCCAGCACATGTGTTGGCTTGGTGAGCAAGTCGAATGATGTGCACAGTGGCACTGACACCAGCACTGACACCAGGCCGCAAGCCGGACCTAACTAGCAACCTCTGCTTCGGGTATGATCAACGTATTTGGAGACTTTGCAGAAGATCCTTGCTGTTCAGTGTTTAAAATGGGCTTATCATTTGTACTAACTGACCTTTCCTGAAATCATGCATTACTGAGTTATGTCTTGTTTAAACCTATTCTTACTCCAGAATCTTATCAATATATAAGAAATTTAGGAAGGTTAGGTGCCAAAATACCCAGCATCATACTTGTACATTTGTAGTATCATACAGAACTGAATTCCCAGGAACTATGAGTGCTCCAGACCTCGTGGCTTTTCCCTTCAATCACTGAGGGATGCTGTGTGGTCACTGCCCTGCTCACTTATGTTCTTCTCCTACTTCCACACCAGCACACAGCAGGTTTCCTTAAGCAGTGATTCTTAAAATTTTTTCACCAAGTCTTACCAAGATTTTTCTGTTTTTAATTTTTTTGAGACAGAGTCTCACTCCCCCAGCCAGGATGGAGTGCAGTGGTGTGATCTCAGCTCACTGAAACCTCCACTTCCTGGATTTAAGCGACTGTCCTGCTTCAGGTTCCTGAGTAGCTGGGATTATAGAAGCCTGCCACCACACCTGGCTAATTTTTGTATTTTTAGTAGAGATGGGGTTTTGTCATGTTGGCCAGGCTGGTCTCAAACTCCTGATCTCAGGTTATCCACCCATTTCAGCCTCCCAAAGTGCTGGGATTACAGGCATGAGACACGGAGCCCGGCCTCTTATCTTTTCTTTTTATAAATCTTATTTTGTGCTACTATTTTATAGTAGCATATAGTAGCACAAATAAAGAGTTTATTAGTAGCACAAACAAAGGTAGCACAAAATAAGATTTATAAAATCTTTATTTGTGCTACTATTCACAGTACTTATTTTGTACTGTGAAAAATCTCCAAAGTTGGGCGTGGTGGCTCATGCCTGTCTCTACTAAAAATACAAAAATTAGCTGAGCATGGTGGCACATGCCTGTAATCTCAGCTACTCGGGAGGTTAAGGCAGGAGGATCTCTTGAACCTGGGAGGCAGAGGTGGCAGTGAGCTGAGATCGTGCCACTGCACTCCAGCCTGGGCGACAGAGTATCCATAAAAAAAAAAAAAAAAAGGAAAAAGCCTCCATTTTGAAAATGTAGGCCCAGCGCCGTGGCTCATGGCTGTAATCTCAGTACTTTGGGAGGCCAAGATGAGTGGATCACCTGAGGTCAGGAGTTCGAGACCACCCAGGCCAATACGGTGAAACCCTGTCTCTACTAAAAATACAAAAATTAGCCGAGTGTGGTGGTGCATGCCTGTAATCCCAGCTACTCGGGAGGCTGAGGCAGGAGAATCGCTTGAATCTGGGAGGTGAAGGTTCCAGTGAGACAAGACTGCACCAACTCACTCCAGCCCAGGTAGCAGAGCGAGACTCCATTAAAAAAAAAGAAAATCTACATTGTACAGAAGCACGTCTTTTATGGCCTCCAACAAAGCAGACTTAGGTAATTTAACGTTTGCACTCAGGTGCAACCTAACAGGGAGGGTCCAAAAGGGACGTGTTTGGCTGCTCATTATTTTTAGCAAACTGCTACCTTGTGTAAAATGTGTGAAATATACTCTTTAATTTAGTAAATACTTTTTTAAAGGCAGAAATGATCGTTATTGTAGCTAAAATAATTCTTAAATAATAAAGTTTCTGAAATTTTTATAATTTTTTCCATACTGATTAAAAATTGTTTACCAACTTATTTTTGTTTGAAGTGTGACAGTTTTTCCCTTTTCTTCCCAACCTCTCTTGCAAAAACGAAGTGGGTTTCAGCTAATGAATTGAACAGAGCAAGACCAGCCTGGGTAATGCAAGGAGAGCCTCATAGTGAGACCTGGACAACATAGTGAGACCCCGTTTCTACAAAAAAAATTTTTTTCAATGAGCTGTGCATGGTGGCACCAGCCTGTAGTTCCAGCTACTTGGGAGGGTGAAGTAGGAGGACTGCTTGAGCCCAGAAGTTTCAGACCAGTTTGGGCAACATGGTCAACCCTGTTTCTATAAAAAAGTTTAAAACAATTAGCCTGGCATGGTGGTGCACACCTATAGTCCCAGGTACTTGGGAGGCTGAGGTGGGAGGATGGCTTGAGCCTGGGAGGTTGAGGCTACAGTGAGCTGAGATTGAACCATTGCACTCCAGCCTGGACCACAAAATGAGACCCTGTCTCAGAAGCATGAAATTAAAAAAGCTTTGCTGAGATGGGAGAGCGGAGGCTGGCTGTGGGTGGTGTGGGATATGGGAGGCTCTGGAACTGTCCTTTGTTCTTGTGGGGAGAAACGGCCTGGAATGAAACCCTCCTGGGGGTGCATCCCCTGCAGGCTCAGCCGCCAGGTGGGGACGTGCCAGGTTTCCTTTCCTCCTGAGACAGCAATGGTTCCTGCTCCAGCCCAGGGTTTGAGGATAGAGGAGGGTGCTGGCTTTCTAGGGCAGGGGTTGGGGGTCCTGGGGTGTTGGGCCCACATGCCTGGGTGGCAGCCAGGCCCTCCTCCTGAGCTTCAGCCTCCGAGTCCATGAAGCAGGATCTAAGGTCTCCCCCCGAGGCTGTGGGAGGATTAAATGGTGGCCCAGTGTGGAGCACAGCTCATCCCTGCAGGGCCCTTGTGAGTGATGCCCTGCAGAGGCATCACATGGCCACAGCCACAATATCATCCCCATGGCAATGTCATCTCATGGAGCAGAATTGGGGGACCGCCGGGCTCACGGGCCTCCTTCCTCAGACTGGCAGAGGCGACCCAAGCCTGTGTGGAACTGGAGGCCCAGCTGACAAGGGGCTGGAAAGACCAGGCTGCCTGCGTCCCTGATTGGATAAATCAACATAGGCGTCCTGGGCTGGATGAAGCTTTCAGGAAGAGGCTTGCTCCCAAGCTCCTCCTAGAGAAGCAGGAGGCCCCGGCCCTGGGGAGCCCCCTTCACCCTAACCTCCCACTCCCCCGGGGCAGGGTATCAAGAGGACCCTGGAAGGCCTACGGCTCCCCAGAGCCTTCGAGAGGCTGGGTCCCAGATGCTCCCTTGGGTGGGAGGCCCCTCAGGTGGGAAGCTCTGGGGACAAGGCGAGCACAGTCCCGTTTCCACCCAGCTTACGGGCAGGCAGGTGCTGTCCATGGCCCCTTCCTACCCTACCCCTGACCACGCTTCCTGAACGTGCCAGGCACCAAGGCACGGATCCATGTGGGACCCTCCCTACCCGGCTGCCGGGCACGCTTCCCGCACATGCACAAGCGGGGTGCTGAGGCACGGACCCCGCAGGTCCCTACTACCTGGCCCTCACCACACTTCCTGCATGCACACACACCGGGCAGCAAGGCACGGACCTACCTGGTGCAGGGCGAGCATCCTGGGGCTGAGTCTGAGGATGCCCTGCAGCACAGCCAGTGGCCACCCAGGTAGGCAGACGGGTGGTAGACGGTGAGGCGCTTCTGGTTGCACTGGCTTACTTTGGTGAGAATGTCGATCCAGTCCTTGGCCTCCACGCAGTTGTTGGCCTGGATGTAGAGTGCACGCTCTGGCTGGATGACCTGGAACATCTGAGGATGCAGGCGGGCTCAGGATGGCACACACGAGGTCCTGTGGCCAGTGTATGCCAGGGTCTGGCAGGCACCTGGCTGTCCTTGCTAGAGCCTCAAGAGGGGACACACTGAGGGTGCACAGGGCCAGGGGCCCAGGAGCTGTAAACATTAGGAGCAGCCAAGGCCAGGGGTACACAGAGCTCTCTGCCAACCTGAAACCTGACAATCAGGGCCGTGGGGAACGGAGGTAAGAATGGGTGTGGCTAGAGACATGGCTGGGCGGCGAGGTATAGCTTGGCCAAGGCCCTTTATGTGCCAGAGCCTCAGAGTCTCCGTTCAAAGGCAGAAAAGAAGCCCTGTGGTCTCCCCATGAGGTCCCCTGTAGCCAAAGACAGGAGTCCCGTCCATGAGGGGTTTCTGCTGTATCAGCTGGGGTGGACTGGCCCACTCAGCTCCTCCCCCACCTCACCAGCCCAGGCGCTTCCTCCTTCCTCCCTTCCTCCCAGCCGGGGTTGGGGGGCTGCTCAGGGCAGCAAGAACCTTCACCATTTATTGCTCAGTCAACAAACATGACCAAGCACCAGCACTCTCCCAGGTCCTGGAGACAAAGCCTGGCCTAGAATTTCTGCTGAACCTGCAGCTACCAAGAAAGACTAAGCACAGGTGGCAGCTGGGGAGGACGCATGGCAGATGCCAGCAGGGGCTGGAAGTGAGTAGTCCTGGTGCTGTGGCCAGAAGGCTGACTCAAAGTTAGCTCAGCAGGGAGCTGACATGGTAGAAGAAATGGGAGGCACAAAGGTCCTGGGACAGGAGGTGGAGGGTCCCAGGGCAGGGCGGACAGGGGTTCTGTGATTGGAGGGATGGGAGTCCAGGGGCAGGGCGGACAGAAGCTCTAGGATTAGAGGGATGGGGGTCCCAGGACAGGAGGTGGGTGTGTCCTGGGGCAGGGAGGACAGGGGTCCTGTGATTGGAGGAACAGGAGTCCTGGGGCAGGGAGAACAGGGGTCTTAGTATTGGAGGTTGGAAGTTCCCAGAAGGAGCTGGCTCTGGGGCACACAAAGACAGAGGTTTTCTGAGTAGAAGGCTACCTGGAGGCTGGAGGGCTTTTATAAGGACTTGCCCTTAAGTCAGGAATCAGGAGAACAGTGGCCTTCTCCAGCAGATGGGCACTTCCTTCCACTGATCTGGGGAGGATTTAGGCTCCAGGTTTCTGGTGAACAGCTGGGGTCTTATTTACAGAGGCCAGGAGCCACCGGCCTCACATCCAGCACCTGTGTGCAGGTCTCTCCCTGCACACCCCTGAGCATGGCTGTCATTCCCCATGGAGGGCGTCCTGTCCATCATCCCAGGCTCAGCCCTGCCACCAGGAACAGCCTCCAGAAAGGTCGCCCCAGCTGAGAGCCTGGCCCAGCAGCAGCCCCGGGGGAAGTGGGCCCTGAGGAAGTCAGCGGGACATAAACAGCAGAAACAGGCGCGGCTGAAACTACTCAATTATTGGAAACCTATGGAAAGGGCTCGAAGTGATTCCAGGACATTTCCACACTGCTTCCTTCCAGGGATGGTCTCAGGGCAGGTCCCAGCCTCCCCTCAGTCAGCAGGCATTGAGCTCACGACTCTATGGGTGCTGAGACTGGGTCCCAGTGTCCCCTCAGTCAGTGGGCATTGAGCTCACAGCTCTATGGGTGCTGAGACTGGGTCCCTGTGTCCCCTCAGTCAGTGGGCATTGAGCTCACTACTCTATGGGTGCTGAGACTGGGTCCCAGTGTCCCCTTCAGTTAGCAGGTGTTGAGCCCACGCCCTCCTCTTCAAATACTCTTCAAAGTTATGCTTATTGTGGATCTGTCTGGACCGCCCGTGAATAACATCCTAGTGAAATTCCACCAACAGTAAGGAACGTGTGTTGACTTTGGCACAGGGCCCAGGGACTGCACCTTCCCTACAGCTGCTCTATGACCCTCATTCTGCAGTCAGAAGGCCTGTCCCAGCCAGAATGTGGCAGGGCACAGGGTCAGCCTCAGACTGGCAAGGATGGCTGGGTCGCTGACCGAAGGAGCACTAAGTCACCAGGGAGAACACAGCCAGCGGCCAACCCACCCTGGGAGGCCACCAGACGATGGCAATGCCATGGACACCTCTAGGGAATTCCTGCCAAAAATGCATCATCAAAACCTCCCACTTTGGCACATCCAACAAACCCACAGTGAGGGACATCCACAAAACTGCAGGGCTGCACGTCTCAGAAATGCCAAGGCCACCATGCACAAAGAAAGGCTGGGAGTGTCCAGTCGGCCAGACCGAGGGGACAGCAGAGCACAGCGTGGACTGGATCTTGAGGGGGAGAGACCATAGGAGTGTGCAGTTGGTGGCAAATTCAAACATGGCTGCACTGGCACCACACGACGGGTGGCTGCTCTAGTTTTGGGGACTGTACTGTGGGAAACACACTCGGAAGCGTAAAGCTGTTCAGAAAAGCACAGGCATGACGTGAAGAGAGAAGGAACAAATATGATGGGGAACAAGGCCACACGTGGGTCTGGGTGTGACACGCGAAGAGAGAATGATGGATATGATGATGAGGAACGTGGGTCTGTGACGCATGGAGAGAGAAAGAATAAATACGATGAGGAATGAGGCCATGCATGGGTCTGTGACACGTGGAGAGAGAAGGAATAAATACGATGTGGAGGCCACACGTGGGTTTGGGTATGATGTGGAGAGAGAAGGAATGAACATGATGGGGAACGAGGCCATGCGTGGGTCTGGGTGTGGCACGTGTAGAGAGAAGGAATAAACACAATGGGGAACGAGGCCATGCGTGGGTCTGGGTATGACACATGGAAAGAGAAGGATGAATACAATGATGAAGAATGAGGCCACGTGTGGGTCTTGGTCAAGTGTGTGTGGAAAGTACTTATTCTACTCTTGCAACTTCTATAAATTCAAAATTATATCAAAATTTAAAAGGTTCAAAAAATTCCACACAGTCCCAAGCCTATTTCTGGGGTGTCCTTTGACAGAGGGCCCCTTGACCTTGGGGACCCTGCGGGGGAAGCCACCTGAACAGCTCAGGCCCTGCCTTCCAGCAGGCTCTACCGCAGCCCGAGACCCCAGGTACGAAGAGCCTGGCTGCCTTGGTACACGATTTGACACAAAATCACCAACCCAAGTCACATGGAGCCTCTGAGAAGCCTGGAGTGCAGTAGGTGGGGAAGGGGTGAGCCCAGGGCCAGGAACCAGAAGAGCAGACAAAACCCGGCTGGGCCTCAACCCGAAATGAGGCTTGGGGACACCGCACTCACATTCTTCATTTTGAAAGATTCCTCCTCCAGCTTCTCCACTGCCAGGATGTTCTCGATGGAAATGCTGTAGAGAGGCTGGTCCCCTGCAGCAGAGAGGCGCAGTCAGCGGATGCGGTCCCTGCTGGTGTCCAGCTGGGGCCGAGGGGGTCTCTGCCGAGGGGGGTCTGTGTCGGGGGTTCCCTGCTGGGGGGTTCCCTGCTGAGGGGCTCTCTGTCGAGGCAGTCTCTGCTAAGGGTTCTCTGCTGAGGAGCTCTCTGCAGAGGAAAGGCATCTCTGCCAAGGGGTCTCTGTGGAGGGGTCTCTGCCAAGGGGGCATCTCTACTGAGGAAGTCTCTGCTGGGGGGGGGTCCCTGTCAGGTGGGTCTCTGCCAAAGGTGTCTCTGCTGGGGGTCTCAGTCAGGGGGTTTCAGCCTTTTTTGCGGGGGGAGTCTTAGCCGGTGGTGGGGTCTCTGCCGGGATACCCTGGGCAGGGGGAGGCGCCCTGCACTCCTCAGGCGTGGCGGCTGAGTCACTGACAGCCTGTAGGTGTGGGGGCTGAGGAGGCCTGGGACCCCCGGCCCTGCCACATGCACAGGCTGGAACCAATTCCTGCATCCCCACGTTGCCGTGGCCTCAGGCTCTGTCCCCAGGACATGCCCCTGTTCTCATGGGGAGAAACCATTCTATTTCCTAATCTAGATTTGAGCCAGCAGATCTGACAGAGAGAGGCAGGAAGCCGTGGGAAGCTCCGTCTACCTCGGGGGAGCGGCCCGTGGCCGTGACAGAGACCAGAGGAAGAAGGGACGGTGGATGGGAAAGGGCCTCGCTGATGCAGGCTCTGCGTTTCCTGGTTCTCTGGGAAAGCTGGTTTCCCACAGGCTGGGTTTCTTTGCCTTTCTGACAGCAGGTCTGAAAGACCCTCCAGAGATCTTTGAAGGGACAGCCGGAAGCAGAGGGCTCTGGGTCACGAGGGCCCAGGCTCTGCCTGCAGCACCCAATCCTTCCTCCCCTTGGCTCCCCCGACCCTGAGAAGCAGATGTCAGTCCCAGGGCATGCTCCGGCGGGAGCCAGGGAAAGCCGCCTTGCTCCTACCTTTGCTTTTGTGGTAGGTAAAGTCATGGTTGGTCAAGCGAAACCATCTCTTCTTAAAATTCTTCATCCCAAAGCGCTTCCGTCCTTGTGCCCTCTTGATCATGAACCTGTGTGAAGAGCACGGGTCGGGGGTGTCTGGCCTCAGCCTCCTCCCTGCATAGGCGCAAACCACACTCAGCACTTTCTGCGTTCCTAGACCTGAGGCAGATGGTGAATTTTCAATATCTTATCCTTTTACTCCTAGTGATGAGATTAAAAAATTGGAAGGCAATGCCTCTCCTTGGAAAAGTTCAGCACAGACTGAGTTACTTTGAATCACCAAGTGGTGATGGCGCCAGGTTTTGGGAGGTCTCTAGCCTCTCACCTCACACTGAACTTTCAACAGTGGTCCTGCCACCAGAAATACCAACTCGATGCTCCCACAGCGGATGTGCGGCCGGCTCAAGCAGTGGACGATACTTGCAACAAAACCCACGCCCGTGGTACAGCAGGAGTCACGCACGACGGCTACGCCAGACCAAACTCGCCTCCCTCAGGGCCAGCCTCAGTGTGGGAAGGCACCGCTGGGCTGCGTCCTCAGGAAATGTGGGAAGCAGGAGACAGGATGGCTACTGAAGACGCAAGGCCTCAGCGAGGAGGACCCTAGGTCTGGCCCCAGGCAGGGACCTCGAACGTCCTCCTGGCAGCCCAGGACCCTCTGAGGATCAGCTTTCATCGCTGGGTGGGGGTCCCTGACCAGAACCGGCGGCTGAGCTGGAGAAGAAAGCAGCCAGGGTGACTGGAGGCCAGAGGTGGAGGTGGAGGACGAGTCCCCAAGCTGAGTGACGGAAGGGAGATGGGGGGAGATGCCAACTCCCCTTAAAAGAGCACACACGGAGACAGCGGGGAGGCGCAACTCCAGTTAAAAGGACACGCAGAGAGACGGTGGGTAGGGGTGGGAAACCCCTTAAAAGAGCACGCCCAGCGACATGCTCTTGGAAGTGGGATGAGGGGCTTTGAGCAACGACGAGGCCAGAGAGCTATGGACGCCCACAGGAAGACGTAGAAGCCCCAGGAGACGCCAGACAGTGCCGTTCACAACCAGTGGATGTAGAAGGCTGCCCGGGAGGCTGCTGAGGACCAGCGGGATGGGCAGGGCGGGGCCGCACGGATGGATAGGGGTGGGGTGGGACCAGGAGCTCCACGGGGAGCTTGCACCTCGAGGGCAGGAGGACGCCCCTGAGAATACTCTGGACCACACAGCAGTTGGATTTGAGGAGTAGTCTTGTTATAAATGTGTTTGGCTTTAGGATTTTTTTTAGAGCCCCAGCTTTCTGAGGGCCTTCGGTGGATGAGGCTGCATGTGAATTTCATGTATGAAGCAAGTTTTTCTAGGTCATGGCAGCGCTGAGCAGAGAGAAGGCGGTGGCTCCTCACTGCACGGGTCTGGTCAGGGTACCTGGCTCTCAAGGAGTCGGTTTTCTAACCGGGACCATCACGTGTGGGGGCGGGAGCCACGGCTGAGCCAGAAGCCTCCGGCTGAAAGCAGCTCAGCCCAAGCAGGCACAGCTGACTCAACTCAGCAAACACACCCTGCACTGCGGAGGCCCTGGTCCTGTGTCCCAGTGGGTGAGGGCACACAGAACTGAGAGACAGTAGAGTCTGGGAGTGTCTGAGCATGGAGGGAGCCCTCAGGAAACACGGTCTTCACCACCTCCACACGTGGAGGAACATGCAAGACATGCTTGCCACCACCAGCTGAGACAGCAGAACCAAGGCACCAGGGTGGCCCTGCACGGGCACACTAAGGGTGGCTCTGGGTCTGGGGATGTGACAGAGCCGAGGTACTGGAGGAGAGGCTGATTTGGGGGCGGGAAAATCAGGGTCCTGGTGAATCAAAACCTTGGCAATAGATGGCATGTGGCACAGCTGCTGGAAGGAGCTGGTGGAGTCTCAGCTGCATCTGGGGCCTCCGGGAGGCACCTGTCCTTGAGCCTCTGGCATCTATAACAGCTTCTTAGCGTCAGGCACCCAAGCCCTGGTGTCCTGCATTGCTTTAGGGATTACAGGATGAATATTTGTTGCTTTGAATGTTGTGAACTTATGTAATGTGTGTATTACTAATGTTATTGGTTAATATATGACTAAGTTAAAAGAAAAACAGCAACGTGGGTATGGACCACACATTAGAGTGTGGTCCAGCAGTGACCCACGGATGGTCCAGGTTTGAACAGAGACAGCTCTAATGGAGTATCCACAAAAATAGACAGATGGGACTTAATTAAACTAAACAGCTTCTGCACAGCAAAAGAACCAGCAGAGCAAACAGACAACCCACAGAAAGGGAGGATATTTGCAAACGGATCCTACAAGGGACTAATAGCCACAATTTAGAAGGAACTCAAAGAACTTAAAAAAGTTAAAAAATAACCCATTTAAAAGTGGCCAAAGGACAGGAATAGACATTTTTCAAAAGAAAACAAATGTCCAACAAGCACACAACATAAAGCCCAGCCTGGCTCATCACCCAAGGAATGAGAACCAGAGCCGCCTGCGACCCCAGCTCACGCCAGGCAGAATGGAGCTGCCTGTAACCTCGGCTCACACCAGGCCCAACAGAGCTGCCTGTGACCCCAGCTCACACCAGGCAGAACAGCTGCGATTAAATAAACGTGGAAGAATAACAGATGCTGTCAGGGATTTGGAGGATACTGGTGGGGAATGGAAATCAGCACAGTGCTCAAGGAACACGCACGGAGATTTCTCAAGGAGCTAAAAGCAGAGCTGCCATTCCAACCAGCAATCCCTCACAGGGCCCCACCCAAAGGAAGAGCAATTGTACCAAAAAGACACCTGCATGCATACGTTTACCACTGAACTACTCACAATAGCAAAGACTCGGAATCCACGTACGCGTCCAGCAATGGACGACTGCATAAAGAAGCGTGGCATAAATATACCACGACATACTCCGTCAAGAGGAGTGAAACCTTAGTTTTCCTGCAACATGGATGGAGGTGGAGGTTGTTACCTCAAGGGAGACAACTCAGAAATGAAAAGCCAAACGCCCTGGGATTTAGCTTCTCACTGGCATGTGGGAGCTAAACACGGGGTTGGGGGTCTCTGGACATGGAGTGTTTGGAATCAGAGATGCTGAAGCCTTGGAAAGGTGGGAGGCAGCAGCAGAAGAGGGATGAGAAATCACCGTCAGCACAAAGTGGCCCCTAAGGTGGCAACCACACTGGCAGCCCCGGCTTTGGCAACACACACCATGCACTGAAGCTGCATCTTTGCCTGTGCAACACACACATGCAGTGAAGCTGCATCTTTGCCCCTGACGTTTACACAAACACATGACAAGCAGGAACATGGACTGTGCCCAGCAGAGTGGAGCCCCAGCTGGGAGAGGAAGCTGGGCCACAGGATGGGGTTGGTGGAATCGGGCAGATGTGTCGGTATTTACACAAGGAAGGGTGGTGGGCTCCACTGGGTGGAGGCCGAGGGAGGACGGGCCTGTGCCGTGGATGCTGTGTCGCTACCCTCCACCGACCCGCTGGGCACAGGCAGAGGCCAGGTCCCGGGTACCTCCCGGTGAGTCCCAGCAGACACACAGGAGGCCGTGCTGCTGCCAGGGGCCAAAGCCCCAGCCCCAGGCTGCCTGCCAGCGAGGGAGAAGGCTGCCCAACCCCCGGAATCTTCCAGAATGTGCTCAGTGCTTTGGGGAATGAGGGCCCCTATCTATCTCTCCCCTCCTGCCCTGCCGGACGCCACCTTACCCTTCTTTAAGCAGGATGGGCTGCTCAACACTCTTGGGGTCTCTTCTCCCCGAGGACGAAATCAGATCCAAGAACTAGAGTGGGAAGAAATGGGGTCACTGTGGGGAGCCACACGCCAGATGTGTGCGGCTCTCCTGGAACAACGGAATCAGCGGCCAGGGCCTCCTTTCCGATACAGGCGGAGACAGAATGTGGGGAAGTGAGTCCTTCTCTGAGGGCAGTGGGGCCTCTCCTCCTCACTGTGCCGCCCTAGCCCCGGCTCTGCCAGGGAGGTCTCAGGTGAGAGGTAGTAGGTGGTGAGGCTGACTCAGGCAAAATGCCTGGAGAGCAACCTGCATCTGCAGAGGCCACCCAGGGGTGACGCTCACGGGGAATCCAGGGCTTGAGCAGCCAGGAGGCTCTGGCCCACCCGGATCCCAGCAGCTTCCTGGGGGACGCCTCCCCTCTGGCCACCGTCCTGGCCTCCCTGGCAGGGGCCTGCACTCCACACAGCTCTGCTGTCCCATGACTTCTTTGGACCCTGTCTGTCCCTGACAGCTCTGAGCTCATGGTGTCCCTTCGATGCCGTTTTCATTGAGAGACGCTGAAATTGCTTCTGGACATCGGGAGGAGCAGAGCCCTTTGGTCTGGGTGTTCTCCCGTGTACGGCGTTTCTGACAGTGGGTGTGGGCCCCAGGGCTCCAGGACTGCAGCTGGGAGTGAGCCCGGCCATCACACACCCCAAGGTGGGACATGCCCTCAGCTGGCGGCTCAGACACAGAGCGGGACAGGTGAGGGCCCCACGGTGGCCACAGAGTTTATCGACTGTGAGAGAAGGCAGCGCTGAATGGATCGAATGCCCTGACAGTTTAAACCATCAAAGGCCAAGTCTGTGTCACGTGGGGTTTATCTAAATTGTAAAAGAGCAGCTCTGTCTCCCGGGCACAGCATGGGTTGCCGGAGGGAGTCAATACTTACATTTTTCACCGCATCAGCGTATTTCTGCTCATTGAAGAATTCATAAAACGTAGCCATGTAGGACTCCTTAAAACTCGCCTAAAATGAAACGGAGATCACTTGAAGACAGCCTCAAGCACCTCGGCTCACGGCCCAGATCCGAAAAATCTAGAGGCAAGAATTATTCAAGCCTAAATGAGGATATCAACACTCGAAGACCCAGCGTGTGCAGGGCCTGGACGATGAACAGCAGAAACTGCTCAGGCGCGAACCGAGACCCTCAGACCCATGCATGCCCATGTCGCCTCCAGAGCCCTTTGGCATCAGTGACTTCATCCCAGCCCCAGTGTCCCTCATACCTGCGTCCCAGGCTCAGAAAGAGCTATGCCGGGGCAGAAGAGGTTGCCTGGGAAGCTGCAGCCACAGGCCAGGGTCCCAGAGCCACCACACCCATCTCTCATCAAGGCACAAGGGCCACTCCGAAGTGGGAAGAGGGGGCAGGGAGCTCTGTCATGTGGGGAAGGGAGGCACCCAGGGATTCTGGGGGGCGCCTTCATAGCCACCATTCTTGAGGCTCGACCCCTAGTTCCTGTCGCTTCCACGCTGAGGCCACTACACAGTTCCCTGGCTGTGAAATGAGGTGGGTTTGGGGCAGACCTCGGAGGAGGCACAGGTGCCTGTTATGGAGTTTCCAGCCCCCAACTCGGGGCCTGGATGGTGGAGAAGAGCGGTCAGCGCACCTCAGCCTGCCTGTGGGCATGGCACGTCTTCACTCAATGGGACTCAGAGAAACCCAACGTCTTCCCAAGGGGGCTGCTCCTTCAGCGGGGGCCCTGCTCCCCAAAGCCCTCACTTCTACCCAGGCCCCACCAAGAACAGGGAACCAGGAGTCCAGGGATGTCTGTGCACCATGGCCCAGCCCTCTCCAGCCGGAGCCCTCATCCTGCCCTGGCTGGGCTCCCGCAGAGACAGCCTCAGCCCCGACCATGAGCACTGCCCCCAGGACCTGCAACTGTCAGCCTTTGATCTCCCCACACCGAGAGTCACACACAGGTGTTCTTAGGGGAAAACAGGGCAGATGCTTGAGGGACCCCGGCCCAGCGGCACCGAATCTGGTCTGAGGGGACGAGGGTGGCAGACAGCAGTTCATATCCACAGGGCGAGAGGGGCTAGGGAGGAGGTACTGCATGGGGAGGAGCGCTGAGTGGGTAGGAGAGTGCTGTGTGGGGAGGAGGGGGCCGAATGGGGAAGGGATACTGGGTGGGGAGGGGTCACTGTGTGAGGAAGCAGGTGTGCATGAGGAGGAGGGGGCCGAATGTTAAGGGGGCACTGCGTGAGGAAGAGGGTGTGCATGGGGAGATGGCTGTGTAGGGAGGAGGGGGCCTCGTGGGTAGGAGAGTGCTGAGTGGGGAGGAGAGACTGAGTGGGGAGGAGGGGCTGCATGGGGAGGAGGGTATGCATGGGGAGGAGGGGGCAGGGCGGGGGGGGAGGAGGCGGCCATGTTGGGAGGAAGAGGCTGCTGCATTGGGAAGAGGTGACTGCATGTGGAAGATGCACAGGAGGCCCTAGGTCAGGCCACCTGCCCGGCCCGCTCGGCTGCTCCCACACCTGACGTGTCAGATGCGCCGGCTGCCCCTGCCACAGGACCAGCAATAAGCCACAGGTTCCCGGAAAAGACAAGAGGTTCACTTCATAAGGGGAGAGGTGGCTGGGACCAGGGCGCTCGGGTCCTGGGCGTCAGCAGGGGATATGGTGCCGGCTTTTACTGTTGATTTTTACCTTAAACTCTCTCTAATGTGGGAGGTTTTTCATTCCTGTCTTCTAAAAAAAGAAAAGAATCAGTTATCCTTAGAAACTGAAGGAGAGAGACTCACAGACTTGGACTTGGATAGGCTGCCGAGGGTCTGCACGGTCTTGGAGATGAGCGTCAGTGTCCTGGACGTCTGGGGGTCCTGGGGAGGCGGGAAGGAGAAAGGTCTATGCCAGCTGCACAGAAACGCTGCGACTGCCCCAGACCCACTGAGGATGAGATGCAGGCATCACCTCAGAGCCGCTGTGGCTGGTGAGTGAGCTATGAAGCAAGAGTGGCAGCGACACAGACACAGGACAGGAGGAGTGGTACCCCACAGTCCCAGGAGCCGCTGAGAACATCCCACAGGCAACGTCGGAGGTCACTACGGGGATCCACCCTCACGGCCCAGCGTGCAGGGTGCATCTCAGAGCAGAAGGCATCAGGGGTCACCGCTCTGGGGCGCTGAGTCTCTTGGCCCTGCCTGGGGCTCATCTCAGCCTTCATGGGGTTTAAAGGCCAACATAGAAGTGTCGGGGCCAGGTGCAGTGGCTCATGCCTGTAACTCCAGCACTTCAGGAGGCCGAGGCGGGTGGATCACCTGAGGTCAGGAGTTCGAGATCAGCATGGCCAACATAGTGAAACCCCATCTCTACTAAAAATATAAAAAATTAGCCAGGCATGCTAGCACACACCTGTAATCTCAGCTACTCAGGAGGCTGAGGCAGAAGAATTGCTTGAACCCAGGAAGTGGAGATTGTAGCGAGCCGAGATCACACCACTCCAGCCTGGGTGACAGTGAGACTCCGTCTCAAGAAAAAAAAAAAGTGCCAGGTAATGAGCCATCCCTCACCCTGGCCAGCTCCTTCCAGCTCTGCCACACCTGCTCATGCAACATGATCACCCCAGATCCCGCACCCTGAGAGCCACAGCCCCAGAAACCACGTAGGGGCCTGGCGCAAGCTGGTGCTGAACAGGGATCTATTGATTCAATACGTGGGTGACACGTCAAACCAGGCCATCATCAATACTCCACATGTGACAGGCAGTGGAAGGAGAGCACAGCTGTGACCAGCAGCAAAAACCCTGGCCCAACCATCCACTGCTTTGTGAAGGTGTCTCCACTCCCCTGGAACGTACAACAGCTGAAACAGAAAGGTCAGTGAACGACCTGCAACGAGGAAGTGCCGGGACCTGGAGCGTCCACACACGCTCTACACCCCACACGCACCCCACACTCCACACCCACTCCACATGCACCCCATAGTCCATGCCCACTCCACACGCACCCCACACTCCACACCCACTCCACACGCACCCCACACTCCACACCCCACACTCCTCACGCATCCCACACTCACCCCACACTCCACACCCCACATGCACCCCACACTCCACACACACCCCATTCTGCACCCCACACTCCACACACACCCTACACTCCACACTCTGTACACACCCCACACTCCACACGCAGCCCACTCCACATGCACCCCACACTCCGCACTCCTCACGCACCCCACACTCCACACGCACCCCATTCCACATGCACCCCACACTCCACATGCACCGCACACTCCACACATACCCCACACTCCACACGCACCCCACTCCACATGCACCCCACTCCACATGCACCCCACACTCCACACGCACCCTACACTCTACACGTACCCACTCCATGCACACCCCACACTCCACATGCACCCCACTCCACACGTACCCCACACTCCACATGCATTCCACACCTGCTCCCCACACACTCCACACAGCCCCCCGCAGCCACACACATGCACTGACCCAGGCCAGTGTCCCAGGACAGCTCAGGAGGCTGCGATTCCTGGCTGGTCACTCACCGTATGGTGTGGCGTGAGCTGGAAGAGGTTGGGGGAGAGAATGGCCGGTGCAAAGAACCTCAGGAAGATGAAGCTGCTCACTGCAGTGTACCTGACGTCTGGGTCATCTGCGGGAGACAGAGGAGGGGTGGCCCTTTCCCTGGGGCACAGTGGCCTTGTGGGGACATCTCGCCCCAGCCCCCTGAGGGTCCACAGGGAAGTCCAGCCCATCCTGCATCTCTCTTCACCCGTGTCTGTCTCTCTCCGTCTTTCTCTCTCTGTCTCTCCATCTGTCTCTCTCTGTCTCTCTCTCTCTCTCTCTCTCTCTCTCTCTCTCTCTGTTTCTATCTCTCTCCACCTCTCATCACTACAACATTGTGCAGCCCCTTTGGTGCCTGGCCTGTCACAGACTCATTCTGCAGTGGTCTCTGCTCATCTGAGCGAGAGGATGTGTTTATCTCTTCATTTCCTCCTTGTTCAAAGTGGGCCTGGGGCTGGGATGTGCTTGGAAACGGCCTCCTGGGACCCCTGTGCCCCCATCATGTGCTGCCTGACGTCCTGGGAACCAGCAGTGGGGACAGCGTTTGTCTGAGGGGATGCAGAAGCGTGGATGGCTTTGCAGGGCCATGGCCACCTGTGGTGACTGCAGCTGTCGTGAGGTCAAAGGACACACCAGGACCCAGGCTCGGGCTCCATGAGGGAGGGAGGAGCTGGCTCCATGAGGGAGGGAGGAGCCTCTCAGCAGCGCCAGGGCCCAGGTCGCGGCAGGGTCGCGGTACCTCCTGAGCATTGTGGGAGACGGGGCTGCAGACACCCAGCTCCTCCCCATGGGTCAGCAAGGTTGGGAAGTGGGGTTTGGGTGCCTGATGCCCAGGTCCCTGGGGAATCCCTGGCTTGGGGGTTCCAGGAAGCAGCAGCTCCCCCAGGGTCCTGTCTCCTCAAAGACGTGGGCGGGCAGAGGCTTCGACAGCACTGTGGGCCCTGCCACAGTCAGTCACAGAAATAAACCACTGGGAAAACCCGGAGCGGGAGGCATACCAGGAAAAATCACCTCCTACCTGACCAGGGCCAGCCAGAAAAATAAACCACTGGGAAAACCAGTTGGGAGGGACCATACCAGGAAAATTTACCTCCCACCCCAACTAAGCCCAGCCAGCCCTGCCTGAGACCACTGTGAACTCCAGGGCTGGGAGCCCTAGAGACCCCTGCAGTCGTGAACTGGGGAACACTGGCCCAGACACAAAATTCCAGGAAAATCCAGTGTCTGATTTGGGATTCACGATCCTGCAGCTCTAGTCCGGTGGGGGTTCAGCCTGCACAAGCCATTTCTCAGCAGTGGCCAGGGGGGTTCAGCCTGGGTGGGAGTCAGCCTACACGGGCCGCGGCCATTTCTCAGTGGCATGAGCATTTTGGGGGCCTCACCCTGGAAGCGTTTGGCCGCCGCCTCCCGGAGCGAGAAGAAGATGTCACACATGACGGTCGGGCAGCTCACCCCAGACTCGGTGATGGCGTGGAAGACACGGTCCACGTACTGCCGTAGGTTCTCCTGCGACAGGACGTGGCACTGGGACCCAATCCTGAGGCTGCTCGTGGGCACGTTTGGTACCAGGGCACACCCAGGGAGGGGCGAGTGGGGAGGGGCTGAGGGTGGGTGCAGGGTAGCCACGGCAACGAGACACGTGAATAGCCACCCCTTGAAATACGTGCTGGGAGCTGCGGCAATTCATGTGTGAAAGTCACCATACCCTGTTCAGGGCCCCACACCAGCTCCCCTCTCTGCCCTGACTTTGAGCGGGGAATGGAAGGAACTCATTAGAATGTGCCTTCCCAAGCAAGAACTCTGTCCTTCCATTTACATAAGAGATGCCCCAGCACCACGCTCTGCATGACGTGTCATGTGAAGAGACTCAAATGCTGGGAAAGTTCAACATCAGGGAGTTTTGCTGTTTTAAAATGCAGGACACAGCTGCGGGGACAGCCTGGGAAGGCCCTCCTGTCCCAGGAAAAGGGAGGGGCAGAAGCCACCACCCCAGGGGAGGCAGAGCTGGCAAGACCCCCCAGGGGAAGCAGAGCTGGTTGGTACCCCTCAGAGGAGGCAGAGCTGGGCAGAAGCCAGATCCCCAGGGGAGGCAGAGCTGGCCGGGACCCCCAGGGGAGGCAGAGCTGGCCAGGACCCCCGGGGAGGCAGAGCTGGCTGGGACCCCCAGGGGAGGCAGAGCTGGCCGGGACCCCCCAAGGGAAGCAGAGCTGGCTGGGACCCCACAGGGGATGCAGAGCTGGCCGGGACCACCCAGGGGATGAAGAGCTAGCCGGGACCCCCAGGGGAGGCGGAGCTCGCCGGGACCCCCAGGGGAGGCAGAGCTGGCCGGGACCCCCCAGGGGAGGCAGAGCTGGCCGGGACCCCCCAAGGGAAGCAGAGCTGGCTGGGACTCCCCAGGGGATGCAGAGCTGGCCGGGACCCCCAGGGGAGGTGGAGCTGGCCGGGACCCCCCAGGGTATGCAGAGCTGGCCGGGACCCCCCCAGGGGAGGCAGAGACCCGTGCGCAGGCTGGACCCCACGGGAAGCAGAGCCAGGGGTGAAGGCTGGGCTGAAGGTGGTGGCCAAGGCCTCCCAGCAGTGCAGCTAGTGTACTGCAGTGGGTGAAACAGGTATCCCCACGTCCCGTCCTGCTCCCACCCCACTGGGGTCACCAGGTGATATGGAGTTTCCTGGCAGCCCCTGGCTGAAAACCCCCAGCAGGTGACTGGCTTGGTTGCGTTTGTTCATGAACGAAACCTACCATGTTGTTTTCGAGGTTTTCTCCATCTTTCAACTTCACAGGGTCAATTTCACAGGATTTGTGGCTCTGGCATATCTGGGAAAAGGTTTAAGACGGGGCTCTGTGAGTTGGTTTTGGGGGCACAGGCAGGGAGGAAGGAGGGGGTCTCAGCACGGTTGAGATGCAGACTCTGAGCCTCGTTCAGAAAGTGCCGCGACAGCTCCCTGAGCCCAGCCACAGGCACAGAGGGGCATGGTTAGGCTGGCCAGACTGCAGGGCCACAGTGGGGTGGTGTCAGCCCCGAGCCTCGGCTGCAAGGGGGCCACCATGGGCATGTGTCAGGGTATGTGTCACTGGCTGCCGAGGAGTGAGCAAAAGGTCAGGCACAAGTGCCAGGCACGGGGCGGATCCACGCCGTGATCAGAAGCGCCAGGCTTTCTCAGAAAGGTACGTGAACCCCGGGCTTTGATCATATTTTTACTTCAAAATGCTGCCACGATTTCACCGACAGAGCAAACCAGGATACTATGTTAAATTTTCTCACATTTGCAAAGAGCCTGTTTACAAAGCCCTTCATGAACAAGGGGCACAGCCCGGCAGACATCAGAGGGTCGGATGAGGGCTGGGTGCTCAGCTCAAACATGCCATGTGGCCAGGGCCCGGACACAGGGGACCCCAGGTCATGTGGAGAAAGAGGGTCTTCCTGGGAAGAGCCAGGTTTTTCTTGCATGTAGGTGGTTTTAATTTGGGTGAATCTGGAAGGTTCTTGAGCATACAGGGAACATCCTCTTGTTAAAGTGAATGAAACAGCATCTCTGCAGCGAGCCCGGGGGGGGCAGACACTCAAGCCTGACTGCTGCCCGGCTGGATCCCTGCATGCTGCTCTCCGTTTGGGGGACATCCTCCCCACACCCCACGATGCTGAGGACTCTGGGCCCTGCGCTCACCTCCTCAATGGCAGGCTTCAGGGTGACGTGCAGGTAATGCATCCCCGCCAGCTTCATGGTCTCATCAATGCACTTGGACGCCAGTGAGTTTCCTCGGAAGATGGTGTTGGGGTCCCTGGGAAATGGTGGTGGAGACAGCTTTTGTTTCCTGGGATGCAGAAGTACGGTCGGAACAGAGCCTTCCCCCAACACCCGCCTGCACACGCCCATCAGTCAGCTTCCTGACGTTTTACCGGGAGCACGGCCGGGCCAGGTGCTCAAGACCTGCCCACAGAACAGTCCTGTGTCAACAGGGCCAGAGGGAACTGTCTGGCTGTGCGCGTGACTACCAGTTGAGAGGGAGCCAGCCAGCCTTTGCCCTCCCGCCTTCTGCAGTCTGTGCCTGCACAGAGAATTTCGCACTGGACCTTGGCAGCATCTGAGGCCAGCGGAGAAGCAAACCCCCCTGCTAGCTACAGTGGCCACAGGTGCAGCCAGAAGTTTCTAGAACAGGGCGTCAGGAAGCAGCGCTCAGCAGGTCCTGAGAGAAGGGGTGCCCTATTTTCGTGGGCTCCCAAAGTGCCCCCCGGAGGGGACCTGAGCTGTCCTGGAGCCCTGGGAGCTGTCTCCCTTCCCCACCCACACACTCTCCCAGGGATTTCCAAGGCAAATGGGGCTTAAAAAAAATCATTAACGGGGTATGTGAAAGCAAGCCTGAATCAACAGGGTTTCTGGGGCAGCCTGGGGCCCTCAAATTTCCTCAAGCCCTAGGCCAGGATGCTGTTCTGGGCAACAACCTCACCATCCCCCCCCAGCAGGTCCCAGCGGCTCTCCCGGGGCAGGGCGGGATGGGCGGAGCAGACACTCACTGTGTCCGCGTCACCTCCGCGCTGGCGATGGCACTGATGAAGGGCACTACCCTGCCGTAGTGCAGGAAGAGTCGCACCAGCGGGACCGCTGCCTCCTGCTTCTCCCGGCAAACCTCACCCAGGATGTGGGCCGCGGACGCTGACACAGGCTGCAGGGAGGAGCAGGGTCAGTGCTGTGGCCCGGGGTGTGGGACCCCAGAGGCCTGTCCTCACCCTGGCTGGGGTCTCACTTCCAGCCACATTAGACATGCCTCTTTCTGACACGGAAACACGCATTTCACAAAAGCATCAGAACTTCCCATTTGCCGCTGCTTGGCCAGGCCCGGGCCCTTGGAGGGATGTCTGCACCTCCTTCCAGCAATCCCCAAATGCAGCTGGCTCTAGGGCCCCTGCGGCAACAGAGACCCTGATGGCAGGGTCCCCTCAGATGACGCAGGGAGTCCTCAGCCCCACCAGGCTCCTACAGCTCTAGCTACAGAGGGACTGGTGCCCCCAGCAAAGGGGTCCAGGCATCCAGGTGGGAAACAGGCCGGATTGGGAGGTGTGGGAAAGGCCCCCTTGCGAGGAGGTGCCCTCAGGGGTGGGGCCCGGGTATGGGGCGGGGCCCCAGGCAGGTGGTACCTCCCACTCACACCCACAGGCCATGGTGTGGACAAGTACCTCCACGTCTGCAGACTTCAACAGCAGGTCCCGTAGAGGCCTGTAATAGTCAGAAGAAAACACGTGGTCTTCCGTGTAGACCACGTTCAGCCGCAGGGAGCCTAGGTCGTCCGGCTTTAGGCTCTTGCTGCCGTTGTCCCGGGGCTGGAGGAAGTACCTGGGCGGGAGGGACACACGATGTGAGGCTGCAGTCACCAAGGAGCAGCTCTCGGGGCAGCCCAGCTGCCTGCTCCAAGCTGCCCGGACAGGAGGGTGACCCTGCAGGACTCCAGAGTGCAGCCCCCGGAGAAGTCCCCACAGAAGACCCCCAGAAGGGCTGGTCACCAGGTATCCCCAGGAGGCCAATGTTGGAGCCAAAGACCCAGGAGTCAAGTGCGGGAAACGGGGATGGGGGCAGGGTGGGGGGTGCGACGCGGAGGGAATGGGCATCCGGGAACCACTGCAGGAGTGTCAGTAATCACTGTGAACACGCACACCAACAGTGGCAGCAGTGCATAGACATGGAAATTATTTCAACCAAAGCATGCAGTGGCTTCTGGTGTCATGAGGTGGGGCCCAGCAGGCCAGCTGGGCACGTGGTCACTGTGAGGACTTTCCTCCCGGCCACACTCTGTCTTTGGCTCTAGCCATGTGTTCACCCAGGAGCCCTATCTGCTCTGACCCAGGGGCCGGGCAGTCTAAGCTCTCAGGTGGGCAGAGCCTGTGTCTAAGGCATTAGCCCCTGGCTCTCTGGGGTCTTTGGTGGCTGCCTTGGCTACCAGGGCCAGGGGTCTGCTCAGCGAAGGAAAAAGCCTAACTCGGCTTCGGCTTTCACAGAGTGAAGATGGATGGTAAGCTGGCCTTACATGCAGGGCAGAGAAGAGAGACACATGAGGCGTGAAGCCCCAGCACATGGTCACGCCTGGGAGTGCATGCCTCCCGTGACTCCAGGCCTCCCAGGTGCTGCGTGTCACTAAGGGACACACGTGAACTGGAGGCAAAATGAAACAATGGCCTGATCCTTCCCACAAAACACCAAGCACCTGGAGAAAACAGGAAAGAAAGGCAGGAGGCAGCAGCACACGTCGTGCCCTGGGGTGAGTTCCGAGGCCGAGCTAACCCCTGAGGTCTAGAGGTGCAGAGCAGAGTGAAAAACCCTGCAAAGCACCCTCAGGAGGAGGTGCTGCTGGGAGCCACAGTAAGACTGGGAGTGCAGCCGCAAGGCAGGACCTGCCGTGAGTGTGTCCTGGGCCCCTGCACCGGCGGCTGAGGCCCTCCCAGGGTTAGACCCCACGAGCTGCTCATGGCTTAGGGTCCCACTTTCCCCCGGGGTCAGACCCCATGAGCTGCTCATGGGTTAGGGCCCCACTTTCACCTAGAATCAGACCCCATGAGCTGCTGGTGGCTTAGGGCCCCATTTTCATCTGGGATCAGATCCCACAAGCTGCTGGTGGCTTAGGGCCCCACTTTCACCCGGGTCAGACCCTATGAGCTGCTGGCGGCTCAGGGCTGCTTCCACCCATGTTTCCCATCTTGTTCTGAGGTGCCAGCATCGTGAGTCTCTTCTCAGTGTGACCCCTGCAGCCTCTCCTCGCCTGCAGTTTCTCCCCTGCTGTGGGGCAAACTCATCAAGCTAGAGCTTGTCAGAGCTACATGCAAAGTAAGAGCAGGTGGGTGCCGGGCACAGTCGAGGACCAGCATGTGTGGCCTCTCCGCTCAGAAAGGTGTTTCTGTGGCTCTCAGAGACACGGCAGTCTCCAGGTACAACGTCACTTTACCATGCCTCATAGGAGCTGGACTGCCTCAGGACTTTCAGCGGGATCCTTAGTTCTCCCAGGAATTCATCTCCAAACTTCAGGTTACTGGCGTTCCAGAGGTCAACTCTAAAAAACAGCATTGGTATAGCTCTAGCCGATGATGGGCAGCCCGGGTGGAGCAGAGATTACCAGCCATGCTCTGTCCCCCAAGGAGCAGGGTGGAGCCAACAACACCTCTCCAGAGTCTGTATCGAGGCTCAGCCCACGGAGCACGTTTAAAACACATCCGCACACAGAGCACATTTAAAACACGTCAGTCCATGGAGCACATCTAAAAAATATCAGCCCACAGAGCACGTTTAGAACACATCAGCCCACGGAACATGTCTAAAACACACCAGCCCATGGAGCACGTTTAAAACATGCCAGCTAGACCAGGTGTGGTGGCTCACACCTGTAATCCAACACTTTGGGAGGCCAAGGCGGGCAGATCACAAGTTCAGGGGATCGAGACCATCTTGGCTAACACAGTGAAACCCCATCTCTACTAGAAATACAAAAAAAATTAGCTGGGCATGGTGGCACATGCCTGCAATCCCAGCTACTTGGGACACTGAGGCAGGAGAATCGCTTGAGCCCAGGAGGCGGAGGTTGCAGTGAGCCGAGATTATACCACTGCACTCCAGCCTGGGTGACAGAGTGAGACTCCATCTCAAAAACAAAACAAACAAAAAACAGAAAAAAGCACACCATCCCACAGAGCATTTAAAACACACCAGCCCATGGAGCACGTTTAAAACACGCCAGACCAGCCTGTGGCTTTGGAATAAAGATGATCGTCTCCCAGGGGTGAATGGGCAGGCAGAGGAAGGCGGAAGGCTATAGGCCTGAATGCAGACCCAGGCTGTTAGATCAGAGGAAGCTACATGACCCCAGGATCTATGCCAGGAGGGAGCTGGGCGTCCCCGCATCACCCAGGAACTACATGGCTGCTGCCGCTCTTGGCTCTGGCTCCATCTGTTCCCTTTGCCCACAACAGACCCAGCACCAGCAGCCTATGCATGGCAGGCAAGCAAAACCGCCAGAGCCCTGTGGCGTGTGCCTCTAGTGCCACCCCAGCATGTGGCCTGGCAGCCTCCATCTGCAGGGCTCGGCACAGGGGATGATGGAGAAATTGGGTGGAGAGAGGGGGGTGCCTGTGGCGGACGGGCTGCCTGACTCCACAGCCAGGGGCTCTCTGCTTTCAACATGAAAACATGCCTTGAAACAAAACCCAGTGGTTGTGAAGCCCTTGGCCCTGAATGTAGAATCCTGTCTCTACTGACTGCTCATGACCTGGGACAGGAAGTGGATTCAGGGGCTGTGCACGCCACAGCAGGGAGAACTGTGGCTGGGCCACCCGTGGCCATGGACCACAGCACAGTCCCCAAATCTCCAGGACTGTGGAGCCTCTGCTAAAGTCTAACAGGACGGCAGCTCCCACTAACTCTGTCCCAGTGCAGGATGGTGCATGTCCCCTCAGACCTGGGGCCATGAAATTCTATCTGACAGAGACACACACAGCATCCCCAGCTGTAACAAGTCTACAGGGCTGACATCCCAGTCCCTCACTGCCAGGACTCACCCAAGAACCTGAAACCCCACAGTCACGTGTGGCCGGCCCCACCCACATGACTGAAACCCCACAGTCATGCACAGTTAGCCCCACCCATGGGGCTGAAACCCCACAGGCCTAACTGCACTGTGGCCATCGGGGCATCCCCTGGGGGGAGAAGATTCCAGAGTGGTCATTCTGTTTCCCTTGCAAACTCTGCAGGGCAACAGCACCACAGAGGCCCTGCCCGTCCGACAGGAGCAGTCTCAACTGGGGCCGGGGAAGGCTGGCAGGTCACACAGGAACCCACAGTGTGTTACTCTCAGAAGGAACACGAGGGCACCCCCGATCTGCCCACGGACACTTTAGAAACGTGCCGAGTGGCGAGGCAGGTGCATTTGCCTTTAATAAGAGAAACATTTAAAATATGTTTTGGATGCTTTTAAAAAATGTAATGACTAGGACTTCGCTCCTGAATTCAAAGCTTGATGTGAATAGAAAACAACGACGGCGCTTCTTTCTTTTCTGTGAGTCCCTGGGGAGGCAGGTCCAGCAGGGCTCCCTCAGACGCCAGGCTCAGGGTCTTGGGGCCCCTGGCTCAGTACCGTGAAGCACCAGAAACTAAGGTTTAGGCCGAAACATTAAAAAATGGAGCTCAAACTCTGAGAATCAGTGGAGAGGACCCTCCCTTAGGACTTAAAGTGAGGAGGGAGAGAAGCAGAGCTGGGGGCACACGGGACCTCAGAGCATCGAAGACTTAATGCGGGGCTGGGACACCAGGGTAGCTGCCAAATTCCCAATGGACGCTCTCACTCCACAGGACCCTGACCCACGGTAGGCAGATCTGACCCACCACGCCGGGGACATTCCTACAGTTCAGGACCTGACCCACGGGAGGTGGATCTGACCCACCACGCTGGGGACATTCCTACAGTTCAGGACCTGACCCATGGGAGGCAGATCTGACCCGCCACCTTGGGGACATTCCTACAGTTCAGGACCTGACCCACCACCTTGTGGACATTCCTACAGTTCAGGACCTGAACCATGGGAGGTGGATCTGACCCACCACCTCGGGGAAGTTCCTACAGTTCAGGACCTGACTCACAGGTGGCGGATCTGACCCACAATCTCGGGGACATTCCTACAGTTCAGGACCTGACCCACGCGAGGCAGATCTGACCCACCACACCAGGGACATTCCAACCCTGTCCCATGGGAGAACCTACAGTTCTCAACCACAGCATCAGGCCTCCCTACAGCCACAGGGCCTGAGCCACACACTGGCTCCAAGTGTCCGACTACCCTGAGCTTCTGGAGTCAGGGTCCCCTGGGGGCGGTGCCAGCCCCTGGGAGGGAGTGTGACTAGGAATTGATGCCTAGCACATTCTCCGAAATGACCTAAAGAAAGCAGGTGCATCGCAGGCTCAGGGGCATTGTAGGCTCAGGGACAACCCAGGCTTGGGAATATCCCAGGCTCGGTGACATCCCAGGCTCGGTGACATCCCAGGCTCGGGGGCATCTCAGGCTCAGTGACATCCCAGGATTGGGGACATCCCAGGCTCGGGGACATCCCAGGTTCGAGGTCTCAGGGTCAGCTGGGGAGGGTCAGGAGGGAGCCATTTCCTTCCTTCTCTGTCTAACACGTAAAGATTTGGGGGCTTCAGGGGAGGTTCATCTGCCTCTTCATAGGGGCTGGGGGCATTCGTTGATATGGAGGGAACAGAAGCTGCATTCAAAAAGAAACAGGAGTCCAGCTTGTTTTTACTGGGAGGTGGGAACCCAGCAGGGTTCAGGAAGGGCACATTCTGGGGCCCGCCCTCCCCAGGACTCTGAATCAGCCATATTGTGGAGCTCTCTAAATCCTGGGCCTGAGATCACGTCCTGACCTGCATGAACTCACAGGTGAGTCCCCCGTTTCCCGTGGGAGGCACTGAGGAGCCAGGAAAGGGAAGCAGAGTGGGGGGCTCCATAGGCAAAGGCTGAAGACACAGGTTCTATGACCACACGCAGGAAACGTGAACCCAGGACCCCAGCGTTTCACTTGGTGCAGGGTCTTTGCAGAGGCCGCCCAGCCAAGAACCTCAGCAGTGGGTCCCACTGTGTCAGGGCTTGGTGCTGTGCCAACGTGCCAGGCCCTGCGATCTCCGAGTGAGCACTGCACCCACAGAGGGCAGAGAGCTTAGAACGAGACCCTAAGAACGGCTCCGGCCCCCGCCAGTCCAGGTGGACGAAGCCTTGTGGGCCTGTGGGATGTGGACCTTTGGCTTCGCCTCTTAGCGGGTATTGCAAGCTGAGTCCTAACTTCAGGTTTGCCCACCTGGTATCTGCCTGCTCTTGTTTCAGCCAAAACTTCTAACATCCTGTTGTGAAAATTACCAAGAAAACGGGAATTCATTTCTGTCTATGCCCCTATATTTAGAAACAAAAGACAAAAGAGCTGAGGAGCTTGGGTGAAACCCACTAAGAGGGGAATGCAGAGCCAGTTTTTCTCACTCACCTGATTTCAAGCTTGTCCACATCTTCCTCCTCAAAGTCAAAGTGGGACTTCTTGCTGTAGCTACAGGGTCGGGTCACCTGGAGCCAGAGAGAAAGTGGTGAGACCACGCTTCACCAGGCAGGGGGATCTCCATGAGGACCCAGGCCCCCAGCCGCCTAACCTCTGCGCTCACCCACGCGCCACTCAAGGTGCACAACTGGAAGGCACCAGGTGTGATTTGGGATTCAGGCCTGGCTTCCTGAGTGCCAGCATCTCCCACTCACAGTGCCCCTAGGGAGGACCTGCCCCAAGCTGTTCACAGCCATGGCCGGACCCTCCGAGCAGCTGCTGATGAGTGCCAGGCTCTGGGGACCTAAAAGCCCCTTGCTAGCGCCTGCTCTGGGCTCTCCACCCTCCGCCATGGAGACAAAGCCAGAGCTGCCCTTCCACGGCCCCACCTCCAGGTTCCATTTTCCAACAGGAAGTGAAAAGTGTGAGGCCCCAGTGCCTGAACCCAACAGACTCCAGCACTCCGGAAAGGTGAAGATGCTGCTGCCTTCCTCCTGGCGCCTCAGCACCATGGGTTCCTTAGAACAGAAAGGGAGTGGAGGCATGAAGGGTCAAGGCTCAGAGACACCTCGTCAGCCAGCAGGGCCCGTGTAGCCGAGCAAGAGGCCTCCTCACAGGCTGGCTACCACCTCGAGTTCCGATTTAAACACCATCAGCCATGCACCAGGCCACCCGTGTTTACGAGGAGGGCTCTCTCCTGCCTGGCCTCCCTCCCTACTCCGCCTTCTCCAGGGCTCAGTGGGGTGTGGGCTCAGGAGCTCTCAGCTCAAAGTTCTGATGCAGGGTTTCACAGCAAAATCATGTTGCCAAGACTGCCTAAGCTCTGAGCTTGCACTTCCTGATTGGTGATCTGAGGTGAAGACCATGGAGAGGCAGTGCTCTGCTTTGGTTGAGGGCTCCAGACACCTCCTCCTTCCTGGCCTATACACTTCTGTCCTCAAATTTGCTTTCCCCCAACTTCCCGATCTCATAAAGGTGGAGGTGATGCCTCCTCCCCAAGGGGGAGCTGCCGCCTGGAACTGGGTCTGTGCTGCAGGCCTCCTGCCCCTCCAACAGGCCCACCCTGCCTCCCTTGCTCCAGCAAAACCATCTTCTCCGCCTATCAGTGAGGGCTTCCGTCTGACAGAAAACAGATCCCACCTCCAAAGCCCTCCTCACGACATCCCCCGAAAGCCTGGCCCCAGCTTCGGACACCAAGTTCCCACCTCTGACTGTGGGGCCCGTTGGAGCCCCTTTCTCCTATGGTCCCCCCAGAGCTGCATGCTTGTGAGCCCCACTCAGCCTTCATGGCTCTGGGGAGCCCGCCCAACCCTGCAGGCCTGACTGGCCACATTCCTGCCACAGAGGCCTCATCCATCCTCAACGTCTCCAAGGCCCGTACACAGGATCATTTGCGGATGAGAAGAGCATCCGCCTAAAGGCCCTGCACACAGCAGCCCCCAAACCACATGGCCACACGCAGGTCCCTACTCCACAAGGAACAGCCCTGCACACAGCCATCCCAAAACCATGCCGGCCCCACAGCAGGTCCCCCCTCCATGTGACATTCAGCTGTCTGGAAACCACATTGGCAACGTGCAGGTCCCCACTCCATGAGGTGTGGCCATCCCCAAACCACACCTGCACCAGACACATGGCAGGTCCCCACTCCACGAGATACGGCCATCCCTAAACCATGCCAGCCACACGCAGGTCCCCACTCCATGAGGTGGGGCCATCCCAAAACCACGCTGGCCACACACAGGTCCCCACTCCACAAGGTGGGGCCATCCTAAAACTGCATGGTGGGTCCTGCTCCACCAGGGGCAGCTCTTGCACCCTCCTTTTCACAGATTTTGGTGCTTCACGTTCTGAGAGGATCTCTGCGTCCAAATCCTTTGCCCTCTTTGCTTTGAAAACTTGCCTATTTCCACTGGAACAAGCTTTCTGCCCACTCAGGGATGCTTGGGCAGAGCAGGCAAAAACACAACAAAAAACCCCAAAGTCCTGGTAATTTGGAAAGCATTAATTTGTCATCTTTTAACTCAAATCTGGGACAGTTTGGGAGACAAGGAAAGGCTTTTCTCTCTTGGGAAGGGAGGGAAGGTCCTGGGGGCCATGGGTCCAATCCCCAGGGCCGGCTGACTGGGGATTGGAAGGAACTTCCAGAGGGAAGAGACTGAGATGGTTCTGATCCAGACTTTCTGCCAATGTGTCTCAGGCGCAGAGTATCCACTTGACATTCATCCCCCTAAGACACCAACCTCAAAATAAAACACTTCATCAAACTGGGGGTTGTTGGTCTTCCTCTTCACTTTTGTCTTCTTTGCTTCCGATCTGTGATCGAGAGAGAAAGGACTGGGATGAAAGCAACGCTGCTGATTCCAAATCGCTTGTCTGTAAAACTGAGCTCTCAAATGCACAAGTCACTTATTGCCTTTATTTATTTTATAAATATTTCTGTTTGTCTCCAGCTCCAGATGGTATGCAAATGAGGAACACCAAGTGAGTCAAAATACCTAGCGTGATGAGCACGCCGGGTTCTTTTCTACAAAGCAACTTTAGAGCAATAAAGAAGACAAAGGAAGTAAAAATTACATCTTCTACCTCAAAGTGCATCCTCCTGCCTCCTCCCAAATGCGGCAGCAGCCTCGTGATGTCAGAGCCAGAGCCCAGCTCCCCCAGGACCAGGACAGAACCCCTAAGGTGTGAGGCAACTTGCCTGAAGGGCCCCGCCAGTGTCACAGTGGCGTAAGGGTCACACTGCCCGTTCACGATGGGGAGGCCCTGGCACTCGACGATGCTGTGGAAAGAAGCAGAGGCAGGTCAGGAGGGGCATGGATGCCCCGGGGAAATGGTGAGACAGCTCCGCGTCAGGCAAGAGGCTGAGTTCAAGCCATGAGATGTGGTTTCCTCACTGGAAGGTAGGGAGGGCCACACCAGCCACACTGCCTTGGTGTGACACTGAATGACGCTAACCATTTCCAAAACCCCAAAACACTACTTCTAAGGTGACCACGTGCTTTAGCGAGGACTCCGAGAGTGTGTGACAGGAGCTCTAAAACAGCGTCATCCTGGGGGCCAGGACCTCTAAAATAGCGTCACCCTGGGTACCAAGACATCTAAAACAGCATCACCCTGGGGGCCAGGACCTCCAAAACAGCATCACCCTGGGGGGCCAGGACCTCTAAAACAGCGTCACCCTGGGGGGCCAGGACCTCCAAAACAGCGTCACCCTGGGGGGCCAGGACATCTGAAATAGCATCATCCTGGGAGCCAGGACCTCCAAAACAGCGTCACCCTGGGGGGCCCGGACCTCTAAAACAGCATCACCCTGGGGGGCCAGGACCTCCAAAACAGCATCACCCTGAGGGGCCAGGACATCTAAAACAGCATCATCCTGTGGGCCAGGACCTCCAAAACAGCGTCACCCTGGGGGGCCAGGACCTCTAAAACAGTGTCACCCTGGGGGGCCAGGACCTCCAAAACAGCGTCACCCTGGGGGGCCAGGACCTCTAAAACAGCATCACCCTGGGGTGCCAGGACCTCCAAAACAGCGTCACCCTGGGGGGCCAGGACCTCTAAAACAGCGTCATCCTGGGGGCCAGGACCTCCAAAACAGCGTCACCCTGGGGGGCCAGGACATCTAAAACAGCATCATCCTGGGGGCCAGGACCTCCAAAACAGCGTCACCCTGGGGGGCCCGGACCTCTAAAACAGCGTCACCCTGGGGTGCCAGGACCTCCAAAACAGCGTCACCCTGGGGGGCCAGGACCTCTAAAACAGCGTCATCCTGGGGGCCAGGACCTCTAAAACAGTGTCATCCTGGGGGGCCAGGACCTCTAAAGCAGCGTCATCCTGGGGGCCAGGACCTCTAAAACAGCGTCATCCTGGGGGCCAGGACCTCCAAAACAGCATCATCCTGGGGGGCCAGGACCTCCAAAACAGCGTCACCCTGGGGGACCAGGACATCTAAAACAGCGTCATCCTGGGGGGCCAGGACCTCTAAAACAGCGTCATCCTGGGGGGCCAGGACCTCTAGAGCAGCGTCATACTGGGGGCCAGGACCTCTAAAACAGCGTCATCCTGGGGGACCAGGACATCTAAAACAGCATCATCCTGGGGGGCCACCAGCCCTGGAAATTTTCATGCATTTGTTTGAAGATCCTGTGTGCTCCTTGCTACGCTTGTTCCCTGGTCAGACATGCCACTTGCTACGCTTGTTCCCTGGTCAGGACGTGTCTTACCGTGTGGCGAGCTTGTGGCAGACGACCCCAGTGTCTGTGATGACCTCACTCAGCCGCAGCTCCAGGTGGACTTTGCCCTGCAAGGCACAGGATGGGGTGTCAGGGGCTGTGTAGTCCAGGGAACGCCCAGAAGGCCAAGGTAGCAGGTGGCTCTGCCCTGCCCCCACTGAGGGCACATCAGCCCCTCTGCTCCACCCTCCAGGATGCAGTCTCCAGGCTGTGGCCTTCTTCCAGGAGAGCTGACTGCCTGACCATTCGGCCCTGTGTGGCTGCCCAGGCTCCCAGTTCTAGGCTGAAAGCAGGCCACTGCCTCAGAACTGAGGGGTCCAACTGTGTGAGAGATGGTCATTCAGTGAAGCTGCCCAGACGCATTGGCACTGCAGGCTGCTTCTGCGTGTCTGTCGGGGCAAGGCAGAGGGAAGCACAGCCCTCTCCCGAGCAGGGGCCACCACCTGCCTTTACATTCCCTCTGCAAGGCCAATGAAGGCCCGCAGCAACCTCAGAGCTCACGCAGAGAGCAAGGCTCACGGGGGCTCCCAGCAGAGCAGCCAGCAAGGCCACCCTGCGGGTCCACCTGTCTCTCTACAGATCCGTCTGTCTCTGTGTGCCACTGTGTGTGCGGTTGTGTGTGCCACTGTCTGTGCCCATCTATCTGTGTGTGCTGCTGTGTGTGCCTGTCTGTATGTGCAGCTGTGTGTGTCGCTTTGTCTGTGCATGCCACTGTGTGTATATGTCTGTCTGTGTACCTGTCTGTACATGCTGCTGTGTGTGCCTGTCTGTGTGCGCTGCTGTGTACATGCCTGTCTGTATGCCTGTCTGTGCGTCCCACTGTGTGTGCCTGTCTATACATGCTGCTGTGTGTGTCGCTGTGTACACGCCTGTGTGCCTGTCTGTGTGTGCCAGTCTGTGCATGCCAGTGTGTACATATCTGTCTGTGTGCCGCTGTGTGTGCATGTCTGCGTGTGCCACTGTGTGTGCCTATTTGTACATGTCTGTGTGTGCCACTATGTGTGCCTGTGTATGCCTGTCTGTGCGTACTGCTATGTGTGCATGTCTGTCTGTGTACAGGTCTGTGCATCCCACTGTGTATGCATGTCTGTGTATGCTGCTGTGTGTGCCGATCTGTGTGTGCCTGTCTGTGCCTGTGTGTGCCACTGTGTGTGCTCGTCTGTGCATGCGGATGTGTGTGCTTGTCTGTACATGCCACTGTGTGTGCCTGTCTGTGTGGCTGTGTACCTGTCTGTGAGTGCCGTTGTGTGTGCAGCTCTGTGCACCTGTCTATGTGGCTGTGTGTACCTGTCTATGCGTGCCACTGTACCTGTCTGAGTGTGTGGCTGTGTGTGCCTGCAGTTGTGTGTACCTGTGTGTGCTGCTGTGTGTGCCTGTCTGTGCAGCTGTGTGTACCTGTCTGTGCATGCCGCTGTGTGTACCTGAGTGTGGCTGTATGTGCCTGTCTGTATGTGCAGCAGCTGTACCTGTCTGTGTGTGCTGCTGTGTGTGCCTGTGTGTACCTGTCTGAGTGTGTGGCTGTGTGCATTTGTCTGTGTGCGCCGCTGTGTCTGCATTTGCTCCAGTCTGAGTGGCACTGAATGGATGGGATTAACACAGACCCATCTACGCATCAGGAGCTCTGCCAGGCTCCACCCTGAGCTTCTGCTCCTGAGGCTCCAGCAAGGACAGGGCCTGTCCCTCCCACAGCCCCCATACCAGCATTTCACTCTGCTGCACAGTGCACGAGCCCAAGGCATGAGGGGATCTGCAAAGTGTCCTGAGCATCCGGGGGATGGATGGCCCCAGTGTCTGCATGTGTGCCGCTCGCTGTGGCCCTGCTGGGCTCCCGCTCTGCCTGCCCACCCGAAGCCACTGGTCAGGGAGTGGACATAATGCGCTCCGCACCTCCAGCCCTCACTGGACATGCACCAGTGCAGCCCCACAGTACCCCACACTTGACCCAGTGATCACAGGGAGTATGGAACAGGGTCTGTGGAGCCTCGGCTGCCGTCCTGAGACTCTAGGGCCCAGAGGTTGGGTGTGGCCTTCCTGCCCTGTGGCTCCAACCTCAGAGCAGGTCCTGAGGGCCACAAGGATGTTGGGCCGGGAAGGTGGCCACCAATCCCACGCCAGCACTGTGGGCAGGAAAAGCTGGTACCTAAAATGACAGCAAAGGTTCCACCAAGACCACAGCTCCTTTTCCTGCGGCGACCAGAGCTCAGAGCTGAGCAAAGTGTCGCATGTGGTCCTCACACCTGCCAGAGGACCCTGCTCTCCATGGGCCACAGGAGTGCCCTTGACACCAAAGACAGGAGAAAGTGTCTGATACAAGAATAACCAAGAATCCTACTGCTTCGTTCCCGTTCTCAAAGTGACACCAGGCGCCAACCCCTCCAGGCAGAAGTGTTCAGATTTGCCCTGTTCATGTTTGGGAGCTTCAGAATAAGTGAGGACCGCATGGGGGCTGTGGCCCCCAGCAGCAGGCCGCAACCCCCACCACCCCTCCGCTCTGTGCTCTCCCGGCTCCCGGCCAGGTCCTGAGGCCACTCCTGTTCCTGCAGCGGGAATCCCTCCCAACCAGGCAACTGTGCTGCTTCCATCTTCTGCTGACTCGGGAGTGGGAACAAACAAATCCACCCCTGGAAGGCCCTTTCTCCTGCCAGAAAAGCCAGTGCATAAATCTGCAGGTGCCAGCGCAGGCGGGCTGGAGAATACCAGAACATTCAGAGGTTAAACAACACAATTCTAAATCACACGCAGATCAGAGAACACAAGACAAATTTTAAACCATTCTGGAATAAACAGAAATGGAAGTGTTACTCATCTAAATTTGTGGGATGCAGTAAGAGCCGTGCTCAGGGTGGGGAGAAGCTGGAGTGCCAGCCGCATAGACTAGAGCAGAAGAGAAATCCAAACACTGACCTGAGCTTAGGGCTGGGAGACTGAGAAAAACGAGTAAACTAAACATAGAGCTGAAGAACAGAAAGCAGCAGTCAGATCAGAAATCAACAGAAAAAAATCAAAGCCAAAGGCGAGCTCCTTGAGAAATCAGTAAAATCAATAAGCCTCTAACCAGGCTACCAAGAGCAAAAGAGAAAAGGCACAAATTCCCATGGGAAACGAACAAGAGGACCTGGCTGCCGACCCAGCACTGGCCTGGACACTGCACCCAGGTACCGACTCCAGCCAATCCACGGACATGGCAAAGGGCCCAGCATCCACTGAGGCTGGGTTCCCAAAAATGCTCCTAAGAACCCACAGATGTGGCTAGCGTCCACCATGGCTGAGCTCCCGATAATGCTCCTGTGATCCCACAGATGTGGCAAAGGGCCCCAGTGTCCACTGTGGCTGAGCTCCCGACAGTGCTCCAGTCAACACAGATGTGGCAAAGGGCCCCAGCGTCCACTGTGGCTGAACTCCCGACAATGCTCCTGAGAACTCACAGATGTGGCAAAGGGCCCCAGTGTCTACCGTGGTTGAGCTCCTGACAACACTCCTGCCAACCCACAGATGTGGCAAAGGGCCCCAGTGTCCACTGTGGCTGAGGTCTTGACAACACTCCAGCCAACCCATAGATGGGGCAAAAGGCCCCAGTGTTCACCATGGCTGAGGTCCAGCCAACCCACAGACATGGCAAAGGGCCCCAGTGTCCACTGCGGCTGAGCTCCTGACAATGCTCCTGAGCACCCACAGACATGGCAAAGGGCCCCAGTGTCCACTGTGGCTGAGCTCCTGACAATGCTCCTGAGCACCCACAGACATGGTAAGGGGTCCCAGCATCCACCGTGGCTGAGCTCCCGACAACGCTCCTGAGAACCCACAGACGTGGCAAAGGGCCCAGAGTCCACATGGTTGAGCTCCCAACACTCCTGAGAACCCACAGATGTGGCAAAGGGCCCAGCGTCCACCGTGGCTAAACTCCTGACAATGTTCCTGAGCACCCACAGACATGGTAAAGGGTCGCAGCATCCACTGTGGCTGAGCTCCCGACAACGCTCCTGAGAACCCACAGACATGGCAAAGGGCCCAGCGTCCACCATGGCTGAGCTACCAACAATGCTCCTACCAACCCACAGATGTGGCAAAGGGCCCCAGCATCCACTGTGGCTGAGCTCCTGACAACGCTCCTGTGATCCCACAGATGTGGTAAAGGGCCCCAGAGCCCACTGTGGCTGAGCTCACAACAATGCTCCTGTGAACCCACAGATGTAGCAAATGGCCCCAGTGTCCACCGTGGCTGAGTTCCTGACAATGCATGGCTGCAACATCAACAGGTGTCAGCCCTGGGGCCTGGGTGGGGGCTGTTGAGGGGTGTATGGAAACTCAGTACTATGCTCAATTTTCCTGTGAACATAGAACTGCCCCCAAAAGAGTTTATTAATTTTTAAAAAGCAGCCAGTAGTCCCCGTCCATCTTTCTCAGGAAGGCTTTCCCTAGGGAGAGAGTGGCACATGGTACCAGGTCAGGGTCCCGACCCCACCCACCAGCTGCTGTGTCCCCAGCTGAGCCGGCAGCGCCCAGAAAGCAGCCAGGACAGAGATGCCTCGGAGGCAGGGGCTGCTCCACGCCGGCTGCAGAGAGGAGACAAAGTCAGCGGGCAGATGAGAGGCGGGTGCAGAGGCCATGGGGAAGGAAGCCCAGTCTCAGCCCTCTCCTCCTGCAACCCTGGAAAGATGTCAAAGCTGGGCCCTTGGCTACAGACGGTGGCTTTGTTTGCTCAGAAAATCCTTCCAAGAAGATTGTCTGCTATACAAACATAAAATTCCCAGAGACTGAGAGGGAGGCTGGAATTTCTACCCCAGTTGTTTATTTTGTGGTGCAACTGATGGCTCCAAGGAGGAAACATGCAGGTGTCTCTCAGGAGGAAACAGGCAGGTGTCCCTTGGGCAGACAGGATGGTGGGCCTGGGGTTTCCCGTGATCTCAGATGGGATGGTGGACCCGGGGTTTCCTGTGATCTCTGGCAGATGGTGGGCCTGGGATTTGCTGTGATCTCCAATGGGATGGTGGGCCCAGGGTTTGCTGTGATCTCCGATGGGATGGTGGGCCCGGGGTTTCCTGTGATCTCAGATGGGATGGTGGGCCTGGGGTTTGCTGTGATCTTGGAAGGGATGGTGGGCCCGGGGTTTGCTGTGATCTCAGATGGGATGGTGGGCCCAGGGTTTGCTGTGATCTCAGATGGGATGGTGGGTCCGGGGTTTCCTGTGATCTCAGATGGGATGGTGGGCCCAGGGTTTCCTGTGATCTCAGATGGGATGGTGGGCCTGGGGTTTGCTGTGATCTTGGAAGGGATGGTGGGCCAGGGGTTTGCTGCGATCTCGGATGGGATGGTGGGCCCGGGGTCTGCTGTGATCTCAGATGGGATGGTGGGCCCGGGATTTGCTGTGATCTCTGATGGGATGGTGGGTCCGGGGTTTCCTGTGATCTCAGATGGGATGGTGGGCCCGGGGTTTGCTGTGATCTCCGATGGGATGGTGGGCCCGGGGTTTGCTGTGATCTCAGATGGGATGGTGGGCCCGGGGTTTGCTGTGATCTCAGATGGGATGGTGGGCTCGGGGTTTCCTGTGATCTCCGATGGGATGGTGGGCTCGGGGGTTGCTGTGATCTTGGACAGGATGTTGGGCTTGGGGGCTGCTGTGATCTCCAGCAGATGGTGGGCTCAGGGTTTGGTGTGATCTCTTGCAGGGCTGTGCTATTTTCTGGATACATCACAGATGTACTTTGATACCCGGTTTATGAACAGAGCTTGGTGACCTCCAGGTGCCCGGATCACCATGGGTCCCTTGCTGCACAGGTGGTACCCCTGCCAGCATCTCACGCTGACATCTTCCTGCTTGAGGAAGGGTCAGAGAGCATAACTCTGCATAATAAAGTGATTTAACAGACTTTCCAACTGCATCACTTCCAGAAGGAAGCAAGAAAGGTTTAATTGTGTTTTCCCCATTTCTGTGACTCGCTGGTCTTGCCTATGGGCCGGTTTTGAGTCACTTCCTGTTTGACAAAGGACTTTTCCTGGGAATCATAGAGCAGAAAGACTCAAAGAGCCACATGGCCACTCCCTGCCTTCCTGAAAACAGTCACTCTGACATCTCATGATGAAACGGCAGCTTCTGAGATTGGAGTTGCGGTTTTGTCACTGCTGTTGTTGTTTTGAGATGGAGTTTCGCTCTTGCTGCCCAGGCTGGAGTGAAATGGTGTGATCTTGGCTCACCACAACTTCTGCCTTCCAGGTTCAAGCGATTCTCCTGCCTCAGCCTCCAGAGTAGCTGGGATTACAGGCACACACCACCATGCCTGGCTAATTTTGTATTTTTATGGGGTTTGTCCATGTTGGCTAGGCTGGTCTCAAACTCCCAATCTCAGGCAATCATCTGCCCACCTTGGCCTCCCAAAGTGTTGGGATTATAGGCACGAGCCACCGCACCCAGTCTGGAGTTGCAGTTTTAAAGGCTGGGTGGAGGCTGGTGGGGCTGCTGCTCCCTGTCCAGCCATGTTTTGGGCAGCGTTGGGGCTGACTCCATCAGTGAAATGCTCAGGCAGGCAGCACCTGCCCGGGACCAACGGGCATCAGAGAGCACTGACTCTGCCTCCTCCCAACTCCACCTCCTCCTGACTCCGCCTCCTTCCCTTTAAATTCCCGGGAAATGACACCACTGGGTTCAGGATCCTCATGTTCCGGATAGTGAGAGGCAAGCTTCAAGGATGCCAGGCTTGGCCACGGGCATGTGAGCTGTCTTGGGCATTAATTATGAGATTCCATCAGCTGTGAGATCAACCTTCCGTGTTCTTATTTACAGCATTGTGGAGATTAAACGTCTGAATCCTGATCATGATGGCGGTTACACAATCTACCCTGTGATGAAGTTGCAACGACTATCACGGTAGCCAAAGGCAGAAGCCCCTCGTGTCCATGGACAGGTGGCTGGATCAACAGCACGTGCTATGCACCACGGGTCATTCCTCAGCCTCGAAGGAAGGAGGTTCCGAGACCACACGGGCAACCTGGAAGACGTCATCCAGCCTCAGAAAGACCGGCAGGGCAGAGCTCATTCCAATCAGCACAAGGAGTGGCCAGCGTCCAAGACAGAGTGCGATGGGGCTGCCAGGCTGGGAGGGGGGGACGGGAGCATGTGAATAAATCTCTAGCGGGGGGACAGAGGGAACAGAGGATCAGGTTTGCAAGATGAAAGGAGTTCTGGAGGTGGGTGGTGGTGGTGGTTGCACAATATTATCAAATACTTAATACTATGCTGCTGAATTGGACATTAAATGGTTAAAATGGTAAATTTCATGATGTCTATATTTTAGCCCATAAAAAAACTGGAAAAAATAGCATAGGCTATACACACAGAGACACACACAGAGGAACATGTGCCTGTGAGCAGATGACATCTGAATAACGTCTGTGGACTGCACACACATCCATGTCCTGGCTGATGCTGTGCTGGCTATGTATAGTGGTGCCGGGAGGCGGAGAAAGGAACACAGCCTTCGTTTTCAGTGCAGTGAGGGGGTCTGCCCCTCGCCACTCCTGTGTACTGCTTTGCACCTTCCTATAAATCTATAACCATTTCAAAATTAAATCAGTAAAAAAAAAAAAGCAAGAAAGAGGAAAAGCTACAGCCCATAAAAACAAACTCACAAAACCAAACTTGAATCCGAGGAAAAGGACAAGGCCGCACTCTGCCTGCTGCTCAGAGGCCTCGTGACGGAGACCCCAGAATAGAAGTGGCAGGGACCTCACTGAAGTGCAAGCAGGAGCGGCCCAGTCACCAAGCCCTGTCTCCTGGGCAGCCTGTGGGAACCCGCCTTTCTGCTGGGATGCTGAGGTCCAGTGAGCAGGGCACTGGGGCCCTTGTGCTCTGGGGCTGCAAGCACAGTCACTAGTTCTACCAGTAATCACAGTCCTTCGCTTTCCACAGCACGTGTCGCTCCCCAGCCAGCGCTCTCCTGGGAAGCATAGTTAATTAACTGTGGAGCACAATTAGGACACAGTCCCTTGGGGCAGAGCCATCCCTGGGGCCTCTCAGCTCCACTCCCTCATTTCCATGAAGGGCCTCACCCCGTCCCCTGGCTGGGCTCACAGTCAACCTTATGAATGAACCCTTTGCTGGCCATGGGAGCGAGCACAGTCTGTGACCTCAGCGGACGATAACCTTAACCCACTGAAGCACAGAGGACGAGGGTTCCCAGAGGACACCAGGCTATCCAGACCTCCGGCCCAAATCTGCCCTGGACCTGCAGGCATGGAGCCTCCCTCCAACCCACAGTTTCCTCTGATGAAGTCTCAGGCAAAGTTCTCACAAGGAACCTATTTTGGGATTTGTCTAGGACGCCAGCCTCCAGGTGTGAAAATGACAGTCACCACCACTGCTCCACAATGCGCCAGGCACCATCGAGTAGCACACGTGTCATTTCAGCATGCTGCACAAAACCCACTTCACAGATGGGGAAACTGAGGCCTGCAGAGGACGTCGGCAGCAAACAGATGAGGGAGCTGGCTCCAAGCCTGCTGCCTGTGTTGGGACCCTACACTTAGACACTCACTACGGTCCCAGCTGAGGACCCACCCAGGAAACCCTCCACATCCCAGGTCAGGCCGCCATGCTGCTTGCTTGTGGCCTTTGCAGCTGCTCTGTGTCATGGACCAGGGCTCAGGGTGACCCCACAGGAGCTGGTGCAGGCTTGGGCTCAGAAGGACTGACCCCCACTGCTCTCTCCTACAGGCGAGCCTGGAGCTGCCACAGCTGGGCAGAGTGCATCTCCGAGCAGCCACAAACACAAGGGTCTGGGACACCAGCTCCCACACCAGAGTCCCCAGTCTTGTGTGGGGAGGTGGGGCGAGCTCCTCCCACTGGACGGGGCAGGGCCAACTCCAGTGGGCACATGTCCCCGGAAGGCCAGGGTGAGCCCCGGATGCTTCCAACAATGGACACTTGGGAAACCAGCGCATTCTTTCAGCTCAGGCCCCTCTTGGTGCCAAGTGCTGGGGAGCAGCCCACCCAGCCAGCTGTGGGGAAGTGAGGGTCCCAGTGGGCTGACGTTGGCTTGGCCCTTCCTTACCTGTGTTTTCTCTTCGCCCTCAGTTATGCATTCCTGTCCTTTCCCACTATGTGTGGAAAGGCATGTGTATGCACCGGTATGAGCTACAGCTTGGAACACACATGTACCTACATTTTATGGCTGCCTCAACTGTGCACGACAAAGGGTGGCAGCAGTCAAAGGGAAATCAGCGAGCCGAGCCCGTGCTTACTCTGAACACACAGTTTTCTCAGCGTTATTGCCTGTTAAGGCCACAGCCCTTATCCATGTCTGTTACCACAGCTGGGGCCGACCCGGGCCGCACTGAGGGTCTCACCTGCACTTCCGAGTCGGCGTCCACGTGCTGCAACTGGAACCAGGTGTCCCTGTTGTGGTACTTCTGCAAGTCCTCCTTCTGAATGGCCACCTTCCCTGAAACACAAGCAGCCATAGCCTTCACTGCGGGAACAGGCCCCAGGACCAGGGCGCCTGCGAGCAGAGGCCAGTCCGTCATCACTGCAGCTTATTTCCCACAGTTTAATTCAGAATGGGGCGCCACCCTGGTGCGGGGCTCATGCCTGTAATCCCCACACTCCAGGGGCCCAGGCAGGAGGGTCGCTCAAGACCAGCCTGGGCAATATGGCAAAACCTCATCTCTACAAAAAATTTAAAAACAAAGAATTAGCCGGGCACGGTGGCACTGTGTCTCTAAAACTTAATATTAAAAAATCAAAACTAAAACATCAAAACAACCAGGTGAAGGGATAAGTCTATGCTATTTTCCTTCAAGTAAGGCATTCAGGAGGCTTCGCAGTGAAGGCATGAACGTCACGCTCCATCGGCAATGCGCACCTCACTTCCACCGTGGTCCATGGCCAGTTCTCATGGTGAGAGGCACATCAGAGCTGGCTAAGTGCGGAAGAGCCCCATTCTCACAAATGAACAGCTCATGTCTCACGCCGTCAAGGCAGTGGTATCGCATCACGAGAGAGACTATGAGCGACAGCCTGGAGCACATGTGTACCTACATTTTGCTAACAGTGTATGTGGACAGGCATATGTGTGCAGCTGTACGAGCTACAGCTTGGAACACACGTGTGTCTATGTTTAGCTTACAGTGTGTGTGGACAGGCATATGCGTGTGCAGCTGTACGAGCTACAGCTTGAAACACACGTGTGTCTATGTTTAGCTTACAGTGGGTGTGGACAGGCATGTGTGTGCAGCTGTACGAGCTACAGCTTGGAACACACATGTGTCTGTTTAGCTTACAGTGTGTGTGGACAGGCATGTGTGTGCAGCTGTATGAGCTATAGCTTGGAACACACGTGTGTCTATGTTTAGCTTACAGTGTGTGTGGACAGGCATGTGTGTGCACCCGTATGAACTGAATCAGGCCTCTAAAGTGTGATCCATGAGCTGTCCACTGGGACCCCTGGAAAGCCTGGAAGTGCAAATTCCTGGCAGTCCCCAGACAGAGGAGGACAGGTGCCCTGGTGTGGGCCAGAATTGGCACCATCACAGGCCCAAGGGCACATGTGGGGCCCCAAAGTCTGGGGATGTCCACTCTAAACAGTTTCCAGTACCTTAAACAGGCTTGGTACTTTAGGATAGACTTTCAATGAAAATACATATCAGGATATATTTGTATGATATCATTTACCTAGCATGGATTTATATGTGTAAATACACATCTGTAACCATCATTACCTGCTTATACGTTCACCTCATTACAGAGCCATACTCATGGTGGGGCAAATGTGTCCCCTTCCCATCCCAGGCAGGACAGGGCTTGTCAGGCACTGGCCACTCAGCCATCTTCCATCCAGCATCCCCTTGAGGCCCCACCACTCCACCCCTCCCAGTGGCCTCTGTGCACTGTGGACCACGCCACCCACACGGTGAACACCCACACAACACGGGAACCTCTGCTGACAGATGCATACAAACTCCCTGGGAGTCACGAGCGCAGGATGTCCGAGCTCCTACGGAGCACGTGCGAGGGCAGAGTGAGGACGGAAACGTTGGTGACTCCTTACGTCTTTGTTCTGCACCCCAGAGACACAATGCCCTGCTTATAAGGATCCTGGACCAGCCACCAAAGCGAGAAGCTCTGGGTCCCGTCAGACCCCGGTTCCAATGTAGCATACACTGCTGCAGGGTCTGAACACGCCAAGCATGGTTGGAGCTCCCGGGAGCGGCCTGGGCCTCTGGCCCAGCCACCCTGCCTCACACCAGGACAGTGCAGCCCAGCCCAGCCCCAGTTCTCTCCTCCAAGGAAGATCATTTTATATTTTCATGTCTCAGAAAACCTCCACAGGCTCCCCTCTGAACAACCCAGTCTGGCATCTGGCAGCCTCATACTTCGGCCTGTCCTTCTGTCCAGCCGCAGTAAATTTTGGAACACTCCACTGCCAGCTTCTCACAGGCTCTATCTCAGTTGGTCCAGTGGTGACCCTGGAGGTGCAGGTCCGACTCTGCACAACCCACAGACGAGCCGGCCGGGGCTGCAGGGAGAGGAGGCTCCATCCCCACTGTCCTCCCAGCGCTCCTTCTTCCGTGAGGCCCCACCCTGTGAGGCCCCACCCTGTGAGGCCCCTGGGATGCATTCTCCCTCAGGAGCTCCTCTGCCCCGTGGGCTCACACACACGTGAGACCTTCTAGCCCAACCTGTCTGTTCCCTGACGGGTCTCAGAGCCTGTAAGCCTTGGCCGCCAGACCCCTCCCTTGTTTGCAGACGTGGTGGGCCTGACACGCGCCCAGCTCAGCACCAGCTCCAGACCCTGTGAGACAGTACAGGGTTGGCCACATGATGGGAGCACATGAAGCCACAGGACATGGGAATGCAGAAGGTGGATGTAGGCATGAAGATGCTTTCCAAGTACCCAAAGGACAGACGCAGAATCAGGACAACTTGCCTCTAGTGCTGCAGGCGCCTGCCAGCACCTTCATCTCATGCTCTCAGGGTAACGGCTGCACCTCACACGGCCCACCCTGAAAAGAGGCCCTGGGGACAACCCCAGAAGAAGCCCCTTCCTAACCACTCACTGGCCCTGTTCCAGGACCCCACTCACAGGGCCAGTCCTTCCCAGCCAACAACAGCTCCGGGACCCCACACACAGTCAGGGCCAGACCCCCTTCCCAACCAATAACAGCTCCAGGACCCCACTCACAGTCAGGGCGGGAGCCCCTTTCCAGCCAACAACAGCTCCGGGACCCCCACTCACAGGGCGGGAGCCCCTCTCCAGTCAACCACAGCTCCAGGACCCCCACTCACAGTCACGGCAGGAGCCTCTTCCCAGCCAACAACAGCTCTGGACTCCCAGCTCACAGCCAGGACTGGAGCCCCTTCCCAGCCAACAACAGCTCCGGGACCCCCACTCACAGGGCGGGAGCCCCTCTCCAGCCAACAACAGCTCCAGGACCCCCACTCACAGTCACAGCAGGAGCCTCTTCCCAGCCAACAACAGCTCTGGACTCCCAGCTCACAGCCAGGACTGGAGCCCCTTCCCAGCCAACAACAGCTCCGGGACCCCCACTCACAGGGCGGGAGCCCCTCTCCAGCCAACAACAGCTCCAGGACCCCCACTCACAGTCACAGCAGGAGCCTCTTCCCAGCCAACAACAGCTCTGGACTCCCAGCTCACAGCCAGGACTAGAGCCCCTTCCCAGCCAACAACAGCTCCAGGACCCCCACTCACAGCCAGGGCCAGCTGGTTCCACAACCACCTGGATGTGGACACAGCACACAGGTGCTCACGGGTTTACAGGATTGGCTGGTGACCTTGTTGGCACAGCTCTTGCCATGCAGACATGCACAGACCATCTAGAGCTTCACAGGACGCTGAAACTACTGAGGGCAGGCGACAGCCAAGGCAAGAACAGTGTGGGGGTGGGGGTGGGGGTGAGTGCAGAAAACAGGCCTTGGCACATGCTGGAGAAGAGCACCAGGGAAGCTCAGAGAGACCCAATGACACAGCACATGGATTCCCTCCAGTGGCACAGACCACAAGGATGGACGCCAGCCAGGACTCAGCTCTGCCCTAACACCTGGCCCCCTGAGCCCCCCACCTTCCCACCACTGGCCCTGGGAGGACGCCTATGACTTCTTTACCCCCTGCCTGGCCCAATGCACCCCCTGCCCTCCCAGCACCAGCCCTGGGCAGGTGCCTTGACTTCTCTGCCCCCTCCTCACTCGCTGTGCCCCTCGCCCTCCCATCAGTAGGCCTGGGCGGGTGGCCTTGACTTCCAGGGTCCTGAGTGGGGTTCTGTTCCTCTTCTGACAACGGCTGCATGGCTCTTGTGAAACCTCCCCTTTCCCCTACAACATGAATATGTTTTCAGTCTCATGGGAAAAAAAGCCACATGAAAGCAGAAACTTCTTAAAATAGAGTTAGGCAACATATTTCAGTGAAAGGGATAAAGAAACCTTCAGACCCAAGCGTCTTCTGCTGGACAATTTGAAGTTTTAAATACTTGCAATGTCATTGTGTCTTCACATTTTTATGAGCTGCAACTGGGACAGAAAGAAGTCACATATTTAATGTTGGTAAGAATCTTATAACTTACATCATTACAAGGCTTTATTTTTAGAAGTAGTTCACTTAATTTTTTAATAGGTAACACAGAAGGAGAACAAAAGGACTTAAAATCCCTTCGAGAAGGAATCCCTGCCCCTGCCACCTCCCTCCTGACATGGGGTCACCACCGTCACCAGCCCCCAACCTCTCCTTCTAGAGTTGGTCACATTCAACAATGAGGTCACATGGATATTTTAAGCATGTCTGTGTCTCTGGACACTGCCCTGAGAGAAGGCTGGATCTAGAAGCCACACCATCTATTTAAATGTCTTTGATGTACCTAATCCACAAGGTTGTCCTGATCTATTTGAGTCACACCAAAAAGTTTGCTGAACACTCTGGGCCTCCCCTCTCACTTGGGCAAAGGCTGTGGTCTTCTCACCATGAGAGGCTGGAGGGTCACTTTCTTCTGCTGCATCTGTGCTGGCCAGGCCCGTTCAGAAAGGAGGAGCCAGTGGTCTGGAGGGCACGAGATGGGGGACCAGCTGCAGAGAGACCAGATAAAAAGCAGCCACAGGACACAACTGTGCAAGAGCCAAGACGCACACACCATGCTCTGACCCCACCTGTGTCCCAGCCAGGGCCACGAGGCAAAAAACAAAGGCCATACACATTCCAAAAAAAGAAATAAAAACCTTTATTCATAGACTATACAAAAAAAAACCCCTACAAGCAAAGTTAATACACCTAATTGGTGTGTTTAGCAAGAACAGAGAATACAAAGTCAATACATAGATATTAACTGTGTTTGTACATACAAGCAATGTTCTTGAAGATTAAACAGAATGAGCACCACTCACAAAATCACACTTTCATGGCTGGTGCTTTTGGTGGACCACCTAAGAAATCTTTGA